CGGTGAGCCCAGCGGTGGTTAGGGACATGTTGGACGATTCTGTGTGGGTGGAGAGCATTCGGAGAAGTGCCACGATGAGAAAGAGCGGTTGGGGACCGTCGGGGGGGTTCTAAGCCATAATGTCAAGCTTACTGGGTATGGACTCAAAAGAGACGGTTGATCTATGGCGTTTGGGTGCGGGTTTATCTTGGCCTCATGATTTCGACGATCAAGGGAGGAGCATTGTCATTTTTTAAAGCATTGGCGCACCAGGACTTGGGGGGTTGGATTGACGTCTTCACTACCGGAACATGTGCAGATGGAAAGTATTGCTAATATTTACGATGTAGAATGGGGAACAGCCTTTCAAGAATGGTGATAGATGGAGACAAACCAACGGCTCGCGTTCTATTTTGGAATAGAAACGTTTTCAGAAGAACAGGTTCGATCACAGAGACTTCAGGCGTGGCATGGTGCACATAATAATAGGGAGATCGTAAGGGGCTCAATCATGGCGCCACCATACCGGCTGATGCGATGATGGATGGTCTTCAATGTAAGGTGAGCAGTTGTCCAAACCTGGCCCACAGCGAAACTGTTGGGAGAGGGAGGGAGGGCTATGGAAGGCCCAACCGAGAGCCATTATTTGCATATTTCCAGAAGCTTTCGAAGGTATCAAACGAAGATGGACACATTTGGTGTTTGTCAGAAATCCGTCTGAAGTAGAGAGTGGTGTGGCAAAGCGAGCTTCTGAAACAAGCCGTGCACGCCATTTTGTTAGCACAACACAGCAACGTCAAGCCCCTGAGGTGCAGGGTCGCTGAGCCAAGGCCCCCTAACACGAGCCCGCGATGGCCATGAGGTTCCGATGTTAGTGGGTGTCTCTTTCTTGGCTGGGGAAGCTCACCTGTAACGGACGATCACACGCAGAATAGGGGGTCGACTTACTGGGCCTGGTCCCACGACTGGTTACTTACTCGATGTTGATATTAGGGTTTGTGTGCGATGATGCGGCAAAACACTAACAGCAAGGCAGCGACCACGACGAAAGAAGCTATCGTCAAGCACTTGGGATGCGCTTGTTGACGGCTCTGATGGCTTCCCGGCGGCGACTTCCCGGCAAATACTACTCCTGCGTCGGCGAAAATGCCAGTGATTGTGCATGTTGTTTCACGCCCAATTTTGGATGTGGGGCTCACCTGTCGATTGTTTCATGGCTGATTTGGTTGGGAGTTACAGTCTTCTTGCCCGCTGTCATGTCTAGAACCTCGTGCTCTCAACTCTAGCAAGTCGAAGCTAGGCCTTGCTTTGCGGCCTCTTATCCCCGCGACGAGAATCCATTGTTGGGGATCCTCGGCTGCGCCAGATTGATGTGCAATTGAGCAGCATGTCTTCAAGGGCGATCGCATAAGAGTCATGGTGTTGAGTCTGGGTGAGCTCCCTTCTTAAGGGACACCCATCCCAGCAACGTGCATAACAGATGTTCTTGCAGTTCCTGTTACCCACACTTTCGACTAATCCACTCCGGTTCTTTTCTATCCGTCCGAGCTAGGCTGTGCTTACTCCTGCATTGTTTTGTATCCTACCGTCCCGTGGGGCACCATTTCTCACCTTTTTTTCTTTCTCTTGTGGCCCTTGCAGTCGTCCCAAATCGGACCCAGGCTCTCCCTCGCCCCCCTTGTCGACGTTGCAGGACCCCTGGCGGACTCCCCTTGCAACACCACTCAGGTCCCTCACCTTTCCCCCTCAACATACAACATCAACTCCTGATTACTTAAAGTGAGCGGTTTCCCAGCTCGGAATCTTAGGAGAGAGTCTTTGTGTTTGTCCCCCTCGGCCTTCCCAAAACCGGTGCTAACTACCAAGAGGCAGTTTTGCCAAATCTTCGTCGTGATCTTCTAGATCGTCCCGTCTTTTAAGAAATCACAATAAATAAGCCTTTGGCTTCACCCAACATTCGCTTTTGACAAGCCTTGCCTCATTCACTTCTTCAGGCTGTGCCTCCTCAACTTTATCTCAAACGACCTTTAAGACCACAACACCAACATTCTTTCTCACCCAACCTCACCAACCCTCCATTCTTCCACCGTCAAGATGCATTCCCCTTCCCGCTTCCAGACCATCGCGGCCCGCTTCTCGCCTCACAAGCTTCGCACCTCGTTCCGCCGGTCCTCCTCTGCTTCCACCTCTTCCCGTGCCAGCAGTGACCGGATGTCGTTCACATCACAAGCCAGCTCCCCAGTCGAGACAATCAACAGCATTGTGCTCCGCCAGAAATCGTTCGACCTGGACGGCGATGAGAAGGACCTGTTTGTCCTCGAGCCGAGACCGGCCGCCACGTTTTGCAGTCTTGAGGCTCGCATGTCGTCCTTTTAAGTTGGGGGAATGGCACGCACGCACACACACACACACACACACACATGGCGTGGATTACACCAACACAGACACATGGCGTGGATTACACCAACACAGACACAACGCACACACACAAATGAAACGATTCTTACGACGACGACGCAACAACACACCACGCGGCACTGGGAAGTGGCAAGTTTATTTTATGAGCAAAACAAGGGGGAAAAAAGAGGTGGATAATGGTCTTCCAGTGCTGGAACTCCGACATATACACAACATCTTTCACCCAGTCCTCTACATCACTTTTTCACGACACCCATTTTTTTATACGAAAGTTTTAGGGATTATGGTTTTTACGGGCGGACTGACACACGGACGGATGATGCCGACAAAGATACCGGCCGGCGTTTTCTTTTGGGAGCAAGAGTCATGAAGAGATTTGTTTTATGGCTCAGGCTATTGGTAGCTGATTTTTGGGATATATTTTGGGGTATCTTTTTCTGGAGCAAAGGCAATGCCACACCCCGTAGAAAAGGGGGTGGGTGGCTGCCGTGCATGTTTAATGCTTTTCTACGCTTGTGTGAGAAAGTTGGTCCTGATATGGTTTTGTCAGACTGGCCTTCTTGCATCTAGTCTTGCGACAAACTTCAATCAAAAATCTGGCTTTATTTGCAGTCTTTGAAACTAGCACAACTCTTGGACCGTTTCTCTCTCTCTCTCCTTTTGCTTGTGATCTTGGGTTTGATGCAGTGGTTACCGTCGGCTATGTGAAGAGGAATGTTGTGCGCGCATGGACAGCAGCGGGATGCAGGTCAAGATGCGATGCATTGCAGATGCAAGACAGACTTCTCGTCTGAGCATGCAAGGCACCGATCGATCGTTCTGGGCTTGAGCTCTCGAACTCCTCATTGTTGCCACTGTCTCGGTTCCTGTCTGAGGTTCCTGAAGCAAGCACAAAGTTCGAAACACCGATGGGCACTTTTGGATTTTGGTTAAGGGACGGAGATCGGAGACGGGGATTGGTCTCGGATTGCGGGGCCGGAGAACCCAACTGTAAAGCCGATATAGGTGTGTGGCCGGGCCTCTCCGCTCTGGCGTTGTCGCGCTTCACCGCAACGAAAAGTCTCCAAAACCTCTTCCGAGGAGGAGGTTGGTCTCGGCTTTGCGAAAGGGACGAAAAACAGACGTGCAGCGGACGAGATAAGATTTTGATCTAACTTGATCCAGGGCTTCCATGTGGGACCACCAAAAGGCCAGCGAACGAGACGTCTTTCTCGGCGCTTACACAATTTATCGTGTGTTGGGCCACTCAGAGATGAGACTGCACATTTGAGCAAATCCAAGAAGACGGTGGAGGTTTTGTACAGCTGGCAATTCCACCCCTGTGTTCCCCAAACAGGGCGAGCAAATCCGGGGCGTTGCTCTCGCCTTGTTGCACCTGCGAGATGGGGACCAGCATGTGCCTGGTGACCAGCTAGACGTACGTAAGTGGGAGCCGATGCAAGCGTGGGTCGGGCACCAAAGGGGGAGAATGTTCGAGGGCACCTCCCACGGGCAGATTAAGGTTGAACCACTGGCAGTGGCGGTAGGTAGGTAGGCGGTGCGGGTGCAGACACTGCCATGACATGTTCTTTCCCACCTTGATCGCATTCTGCATCAATCCTATTGGAGCCGGTTGAGACTAGACATGACACTGCTTCCTGTTTACTTAAGATCGATGGGAAACCCCGAACCACTGTCTATCATGACGCTCCTGGCCAGACACTCCCCTGGCTCTGCTGCTCTCACCTCACTGATCAAACATCTCCGCCGATCTGGCATCATCGACATCCTCATCTCTTGGAGAGCATCCACAGTTTACTGTATTGTCTCCCCAATATCAATTCTGAAAACAGTCCCACGGAATTCAGCCGCTCGTCTGAGGAACACAGTCCGGAGGGTCTATCGCAGCAACAGATCAAAGATGGCAGGACCACAGACAAAACCTTTGCCAAAGGGCCGGCAATCCTACACTGCTCGTGAAACAACACCAATGTCGACGACAACAAAAGGAAGGATGATGGATTCCAGGGTGATGAAGCGGCAAAGCCGAACTGCCATAACGAAGAGACAGAAAGTGTCAGTTGTAGCATCACATTGCAGTCCGCATCCAAGACACAAAAGTAAGCACTTCTTTCAGATCTCACTTTTGCATCTTGAAGAAGCATTGTTTTCTGTCTCTTTTCATCGGTGTTTTGGCTCTTCATCAGTGTGAGCTGTGCCTTTAGTTTACTGTTTCTCTGGTTTTCGTCCGAGCTATTATGTTGCTCTCTGCGTCAACAAAGCCTTGTAGGCTGGAAGAGCAACTTGTTCACGTGTGGGCCTTCCGGCGGCGACAAGTGAATAGAATGGTTCTCTCTAGTACTATTGTTTGTTCAAGTGAATAGCCCTCAGTCACGCCAAACCTCTGCCTTTTCAGTCCTCCCACTTTTTCACCCATCAAGTTTCGCCGGAGCTGTCACTGCCAGCAAACTCCAACTGCCAAATTACGTCCACTGCTTCTGCTTTTGCGTTGCAGTTTTCTTCGTCCTTTCTCAGCAAACACGCAGAATTCGACGAGTCGCTAACGAAGGACCATCGAAAATACAGATCTCGAGGACTTCCTCACAACCAAGATCTTCCCAGACATGTATCTAGGCAACTTCGTGAACATCCTTCAGTTCAGCCACCAGGGAGTCGCAGCCCAGGGCTCTTCTGATTTTGATCCCAAGACCCAGCTATCGTCTCGACGCGGCAACCCTTGCTCGTTCCGCACGCTTCTCAATGACGGCGCTTCATCTTGCGATTCTCTCAGCAGCAGCACCTTTGAGGAGTTGGACAGTGGAGACATTCGATTTGACGACTCCGAGTGTATCTCTATCGGCCGCACCCTAGGGAACGTCCCAAACCATCAGTTGCAGAAGCGTGTGGACAGCGGCATTGTTCTTGAGACGCAAGGTCGTAATCATTACTCAGTTCCCGCGGACCTTCTTGCGCCGGAAAGTGAGCACGGTGACGAAACCATGGGCGACTATAGCTGTATTGAGCAAGATATCGACATGGCGATCTGTTCACCCATCTTCACTACACAAGACCACACGTTCAAGCGATCATTCAGCGCCAACGAGTTCCCGGCCGCCAGCAACCTGTCAGGCGTTTCAGAATCCGACAGGCAGGTGTTTGGCTCAATGGAGGCAATGAACATGCCATTCTCCTTGAACGAACCCGTTTTGAGAAGACACAAAAGATTCCCTTTCCGCGACCACGATGCCGCCAAGGACGATGAGGACGATGACATGTCCATCATTTCCGACTTCTCGCTCATTCCCAGCTACCCCCCTGGCGGAATCGACCAACAGTACAAAGTCAAAGTCAAAGTCGGCCGGGCAACCTTTAAGCGACTTCTCAAGATCCAGGCGAAGGTTGCCACCAAGACTGTTCGCCATATCAAGCGATCCTGTCGCGAGGCCATGGGGCAGGCTTTTGACCATTCCAGCCCCGTCTATAAACCGGCTACCTGTGTCCGTGTTGGGGGTGCCTGTTAAGCTGAGGAGAAACACAGCAGCTGTCGATGTACAATAATTTTGGAGTTTTGTTATTGCACAAGAGTCACTCGCTATTTATCACCCACCTCATTTTTGGACTCACCACACCTATCACCCAGCACCAAGACCTGAATGCGACTGCTCGGCACAATACAGTACCAACCGAGATCCCGATATCATGATATCACAGCATGTCACAGCCAAGGACTACGCGCAAGGGATGGCAAATCCGTCAAGTAGAGCACCATGAAGAAGCAAGTGTATCATCCACTGGCTTTTTTGCCTCGTTTTCCGGTTTGACAATGGCGCTGGATTCTCGCCAGCATCACCGCAGTCAAGATGCCAGATACTGGACCCCGGACAGCTGTGGCCTTTACCGAGGAGGATCCTACGATATTCAAACCGTACAATACAGAGAAGAGCGCAATGGAGCAAGCACCGGCTATTGTGCAAGGAGCGAAGGAACGGCATGGGAGGGGGAATTGGCATGAAGAGGGACAAAAAGCGAATTTGGGAGACTCGCAAGGAGAGGAAACTTTCGGGCGGAGAATGGGAGTGAGGTTGGAGAGTAGAGGGAGGGAGGGAGAGCTACAACAGCGATCAAACGGTCCTCTGCTTCACAAAGGGAACAACCCACAGCGGTCATTCTCCATCCTCTCGCTGCTCGCTTTTCCTTCGCGGTTCGATTCGTTTTTCTTTCTCTTTTGTGTTATTGCGCAGCATCCCTTTGGGAATGGGTTTTACCACTTGGGCATCGGTTATCGGAGTTTGGTCGGGCTGGGTTGGATTGGGCATGGAAAAGTACATTTGATACCCCCTTGTTGATATTCTAGAGAATTCACTTGCTTTTCTTTTTTGCTTTTACCCCTTGGTTTTGCATGTTGTGCTTTTGCCATTTGATAGGCTATTTTTTTTATTCTTTTTTTTTGGCGGGGGGGGGAAGCACTGGATGGTTGTGACGGTATGGCACCTAAGGCAGCTAAACATATCCTGATGTTGAATAGTGACCATAGGCATAATAGTAATACATTGACGATTTAAGTTGTGATGAATGCCATCTTGCTTTGGGTGCTGCATGTCAACCCACCCCACGTCTGCGGTTAAAGAACAAGACAACCTCCTGTCTCGCAGAATGTCCAGTTCGATCATCACAAGTAAACTTCTTTAGGTTGTTGCGGCTTCATGATACTGACTGGCCTGCACCCCTTCACAGCATCGCGGTATTCCTCAGTGTTCGTAACTCTCCCTCTCTTCTCTGTGATCTATCTCTGTACACATATACATACACTTCCACCCAGCCCCCTCTTGCCACATCATCATTAACCCTGTCTGCCTTCAAAAAAACAACAGAAACACGCAGAAACACAACAAACACAATCCCCAAAAACACCAATGTACAATGCAATGCTTTCATTCCCGATGCTGCCGTCCAGAAACCCATCATCGCCTACAAGTAAACCGACAGACAGACAGATACTATATGTACACGATTTTTTTACCCCCTCACCAACCCCCCGTTGCGGCCTCTCCACTTTCCTATCCCTTCTTTCCTGTGCCTGTGTGAAAGATATGTGTACCCTTTCTTCCTTTCCTTCCTTCTTCCTAATAAGTCTGCTCCTTTCTCCGCCCGTTTCCCCTGCTGTCCCAAATCTTGTCCGGAACCGCTTCCAATGTGCCATTAACATGCAACGATAGAAGCAACCGGGGAGAGAGCGAGAGACCCCATCCAAATCTCCGGTTCTAATCGGTGTCGTTGCTGTCCCCCTGAACAGAACGACGACGAGATTCCAGCGATAGCAAAGCTGAGGGGGGAAGAACAAAGTCATGGTACAAAAATCATGACAACGAGCAAACTAGGTAATAAAACAAACCAGACCCGAAACACCATCCCGTCTGCCCCAAGACACCGGGCGCCGCCGCGATAAAAATCGACTTTGTGACAAAAAATAAGAACGATGAACAAAAACCCTGCCCATGCCGTATGAAAAAAGAAGTAAAGACGCACGGCTGTGATACTGAAAGACGCCTCCGCCAATTAACCTTCAGTGGATATCCGTGATGATGAAGTGACGATAGCAAAAACACCCACGCCTGTCGTGGCCGGGTGTCCAAAAAATCTAGATGCCGAACATGGAACCATGATCTACAGCTAATCATGACGTGTCGTCAATGCGCCGAATCCAACCACAGAGTGGTATCCTGAGACTGTACCAGACTGGACATCAGAGGTTTAGAAGGGCCAACAGTTAGGCATCGTCCGAGATTTGGTCGACCGTTAACCCAAGGTTTTGGATCCCAAGCAGACCGGCCTGCTTCTTACCCCAAGCGCGAGTCACGATGGATGCTATGCGCAAAGTCAGCATGTGCTTCAACAGAGCATGAAATGATTGGACACTCACCCTTGAGGAACTTCTTGCTCGCGTATTTCTTGAAGAACGCCTCATGGCAGACGGGGCGGGCTAGGTAGTCCACCATCAAGCGATAAACGGGGTCAATTTCCGCCTCAGTGTAGCCGGCATAGTAGGCCAATGTCTCGTCCTACAATTGAGTCAGTTAGATGTATACACGATCGCAAAGTCCTAAGGGAGGCTTACCCATTCTCCACGGTTCAGGCACATGCGCGCGCAGTACATAGCAGCGGCGGCAATGTGGCTGGGGCGGTAGGCCATGAACCGATGGTCCAGCAAGCTGATCTCCATAAGATACTTGCCAAGAGTGCGGGAGTGGATGTCGTAGTTGTCAGCCTTGGAAATGCGACGGAGGAAGTTCATTGGGTTGGGGTAGCTGAGGTCGTAGTTGAGGGTTTGCAGAACGAATCTCTCGGCACTCAAGATCTCGGCCTCGCTGAATCCATCGTCGGCGACGTGACGGAAGTTGGCAATGTGGGGTGAGAGAACCTCCTCGTACTTGGAAGCGATGAACATGGCGGTAATGCCAACGAGCTGAAGACGGTCGAGCTGCACAACCTTTTCGGACAGGAAGCGGTCGATGATGTTGACGGCAAGGAAGAGGGTCTCGGGCAGGAGATGGAAGCGAGTGTGAACCTCGACAAGCCAGTCGATCAAGATGCCGCGCGTCTTCCACTCCAAATCATCCTGGTGGTCCATGTAGTGGGGGTTGGGGACCGAGTTGCATTCCAGATCGCGCAGGTACTCGAAAATGTCGTTAGCATATTCGGCGACCATGAGCGGGTCATCGTAGTCCTCGCGGTCGAGATCCTCGACACCTTCGGGGAAGACATGCTCGGCAGGTTCGGCAGCAACGGGCGCGGGGACAGCCTCTTTGCGGCGGAGATCCTCCTCGATGTTGGAGCTCTTGACGCGGAAAGACTCCTCAACCTTGGTCTTCTTCTCAGCCTCGAGCGTGTGCACCTTCTTGGGGGCCGGCTCGCTCTCCTCTGTAACACGCTCCTTCACCGCAGCGCTGGCTGCAGTAGATGTGACCTTCCTCTTCAAGGGACCAATGGCGCCGGCACCAGTTTTCGAGACGACTTTTGTGTTGTTGGCTTTCTCCTTGAGAGGAACAGCAGCTGAACGAGTTGTCGCAGTTGTTCTCTTCTGAACGCCAGCGGTGGCCTTGGGAGCGAGAGCAGCCTTTGCTGGCTTCTTGGCCTCGGCAGCATCGCCCTTCGTCGCATTAGTGACATCACCCAAAGCATTACGCTTCCGCGTGGGGTTGGCGGCGACAGTGGTCTTCTTGGACTGCAATCCCTTGGAGACCAGCTCGTCCACCTTCAAGGTAGCGGCCTTGGCACGAGTAAGACGCGTCGTATCAGTGCTGTTCTCGTCGTTTTCGTTCGCTACCGAACGAAGGTTTCTTGTCCTCTAATGATGATGTTAGGATGAGGTCCTGGCAGGAACAGGATGTGGTAGTACTCACAACCATCTTGGCTGATATGATCCGAGATAAGTCAATCGAATGTTAGGTAGAGCTGGATGCAAAGAGTGAGTCGGTCGGTTCCCAACGCGTCGGCACAAGCAAATGGACAAGTGAGGAAGAGGTCGAGCACAGCAGTGGGAATTGGATTGGCGTACAGTGGTCCCTTAAATGACGCGACAAATAGGAAAGGGCAGAGTATGTATGTGTGTGTGTGTGTGTGTGTGTGTGTGGGTGGGTGGGTGGGTGGGACTGAAAGTAAACAAAAGGAAGGGCGAGGCTTACCAAAGATGCTGGGGATAACGAACAACACGGGCAGGCGGCGTGTCTTCTGGTGGATATGCCTAGGAAAATCGGGAGTCGTGGTGACGGGGGCCCAGTCGTTGATTTGCTGTCGGAGTTGAGAGTCGAGATCACGGATTGGCGACGCGTTCCTGGGTCAAAAGGAGAACACTCGAGTTGATCACGACGACAGACAGCCTGCCACGGTCGATGGCGGTGCCAATGGTGGAAGCGTTGCTGGGTAGTGGGTGGAGGTCTTTGGGTATGGGAAAGAGAGGATGTTGACAGAGCTGTCTTGTTTTTAAGAACTTGAATGTGGAGGTTGATGGCAGAGTGGGACCTCCAGGGTTCGCGAGCCCAAATCAGAACGCGGTCGTAGCAGAGTCAAAGGGACGCGGTGTCCTGCACTGAGCCAGCGGCTGCCGGAGCAACAGCGGTCAGAAAACGGCCTGATTGGCTGCGGCCACTGGAACGCGCGAGAGCAAGTCCTTGGCGCCCCACCATGACTTTCCCTCAACCCTGCCAATCCAGGGTTATGTATGTCTCTGTCGCGGGAGGGGCATCCAACTTTGATCCAGCTGTCTGCGCATCGCAAGGGCGAACGCGCCGACCCACTTCCCGGTGCACAAGCCAGCAGAACTAGCCACAGAGCCACACAAACCAAGCCACATTTTCCGCCAAGCATCGAGCTTCCCACGCAAAAATCCCAGCATCTCGGGTGGTTATTTGAAGGCTAGGTATACAGAGATCCCCCGACGAGCTCCCCGACACCTCGCAGCCCATTGGCTGCTTCCAGTCTTTCCAAGGCCCATACGGAGTCTTTTCAATGTCCCGGCTTTGACTCCGGATCTCAACCTGCTTTCGCCTTGCGAACACCCCCCCGAGCTCCCCCGCGGAGCCCTATCCAGGACACATCTATACCATACCTAATGTTGCGATCGCAATTTCGGCCTTTGGCCGCCGGTGTGTCCGCCTTCTGCCAGAGCAGCCTCCGACTGGCTGCCCTGAGGGGATATGCGACCCAAGTAAGGAGCAACCACGACAGCGATGCCTCGACAGCCCTCTCCGGTGCTGGCTCGCAAGCCGATTACGAGCCTGTAAAGATGCGAACATACAAGCCAAGGACACCCAGTCTTCGTCATCTCAAACGTCCGATCAACGATCATCTCTGGAAGGGGAGGCCGTATTTGCCTCTGACCTTCCCCAAGAAGGGGCACGGCAAAGGCGGTAGAAATAACCAGGGTGTTATCACAGTTAGACATCGTGGAGGTGGTCACAAGCGGAGGATTCGTACTGTCGATTTTGAGAGATGGGCACCTGGGCCACACCTTGTTGAGCGCATTGAATACGACCCCGGCCGGAGTGCGCACATTGCCCTGCTGACACGCAAGGCAAACGGCAAGAAGACCTACATTGTGGCGGCGGAAGGCATGAGGGCTGGAGACGTCGTTCAAAGCTACCGGCAGGGTATCCCCAAGGACCTCCTCGACAGCATGGGTGGTGTTATCGATCCAGGTGTGTTGGCTTCCAAAACGGCGTGGAGGGGCAATTGCTTGCCAATGCACATGATTCCTGTTGGAACCAATGTCTTCAATGTTGGCTCCCAGGCGAAGGGTGGTGCTGTGTTCTGCCGCAGCGCCGGCACCTATGCCACAGTCATCTCGAAGGAGGAAGAGACTCGCGAAGACGGCAGCAAGGTCGTGACGGGTAGATTCGTCGTTGTCCGGTTACAAAGTGGTGAAATTCGCAGGGTCAGCAAGGATGCTTGCGCCACGATTGGTGTTGCTAGCAACGTGATGCATCACTACAGACAGCTGGGCAAGGCCGGAAGAAAACGTTGGCTGAATATCAGGCCGACAGTTCGTGGTTTGGCCATGAACGCATGTAAGCAGCACCTCTCCCCCCCAAGGCAATCTTGTCCCGTCAGCGTGATCACTAACATTCAGGCCAGTCGAACATCCCCACGGTGGCGGTCGTGGTAAGTCGAAGGGTAACAGAATTCCCACAAGTCCCTGGGGTACACCATCCAAGGGTGGTTTCAAGACCCGCCGGAAGAGCAACATCAACAAATGGGTGGTCACTCCCCGTGTCCGGAACATGGGCAAGCGGAGAGACAAGAAGACTGCCTAATCCCTCGCCGCGAAACGGCTCTTGTACATTATGTAGATCAGCAACATGTATTCTTCATGAGAAACTGGGAGTGCATGTGCAATGCTGTACCGTCTGTCCAACGTCACCCCCCTCATGAGATCACACCCAAGCAGGCGGCCTGGATGGCCTGGACGATTGGTTGATCTCAACTACCGGCCTTAGCTCGTACGGCCAGACCAGGCGCCAAACACAGGAAACTTTGGAGACCCATGACAGAGGGGCAGAAAACAAGAGGAGAAGATTCGACGTCTTGTCTAGAATGTAAAAACGCAATCGCTGTCGAGCCGCGTGAGAGACTTCCGAAAAGGGTCATTGATATCGATAGTGGGGTAGAGTGTTGCATGCACACACTGCAAAGGAGGGGACAATTTCAGGTGGCTAGCGATAGGACTATGCCTTATGTAGACGGTCTGCCTCGTATGATATAGCCTATAGAGGCTGAGGATCTGAATGTGGTTAGGAAAATGTCCTGGGGTGGTAGTCCCTCAGGTGCCTGTGCTCGTAAAGATCACATCAGACGACTTAATATAGCTCCGCACCCCAACTATAACGGACGATAAGCTAAGTAGTCTAAAATAAAATTTCCCAGAACTTGAATAAGTAAATATATTTTATACCTTATAAAAAGCCTTAATTAATAAAGTAGTTAACGGATACAGTATTACGGTATATTATAGTAATATGTATATAGCTAAAAGAATTTATTATAGACTGCGATATTAAATTCGTATCGAAGTTTTAAAAAGCGTTAATAACGAGGCTAAAAGTAATAAGTTATGACGAACCCCTATACAGAACCTCTGAAAGGGATACGGGTTGAAGGTAATTTCTAATAATTAGTTCGGTGCAGCTAAACAGTACACAATAAGATATCTCAATATAAATATAAAATACCGTAAATATAACTATAAATTATATATTACGGAACTATTTATTTACACTAGCTAGTTCCTCCGTATATATAGATTTCTTTTCTTAGCCGTAATTTCTTTAATTAATATCCTAAATATACTAATTACTTACATTTAGTTTAATTAATATCCTAATTATATTAATTATCCCGGCCTAACTTATTTAGTCTAATTAGTATTTTAATTATATTAATTACTATCCCTTACTATAATTAGTTTTCCTAAATATTTTCCCGATTAGCCCCTACTTCTATAGTTCTATAATTAATTATTATTTTCGTTTATATATTAGGGTTATAATATAATATTTCTTTTTTTAAACTAATGTCCCGGTAACCTTATTTCTTTTATTTTTTTTAATAATAATTTCCTTCTTTAATAAGTTTTTCCTTCCTATTATTATTTTTTTATAATATTTAACCGCGTTAAAAAGCTTACGCTAAAAAGCCCTTCTAGTACCCTTCGCTACTAAAATTTTATTACCGTTATTTTTATTTTTAGTAATAAAATACTTCTCTACTCGTCCTACGAAGCCCTTAATATTTTTAATTATCGCGCTTTCGAACGCTTTTTTAAATATAATTATTATATTAGTTTTAATCGTTCCGACTATAACGTTTTAGATTTTACTCCCGCCTTAATAACCTCCTTTCGTCGTTAAAAAAAGAAACTAAATACCGATAAGTAAAAAGCCTGCATAACTATACTATAAATTACTTTGAAGCTTTCGCGAGTAAAGACTTAATATTGTATCCTAGTTATTAAATTCCGTTATATCGTAGCCCGTAAGGAGCGGTTAATTAAGGATTTAAAAAAAATATAAACTACCTTTATTATTAATCCTCCTTTAATCTCTTTTCTTAATTAAGCTTCTATAATATTAAATTAACCCGGCTTAGATCTTCCAAATAACTTATCCTTTAACTTTCCGCTTAATTTTAACCTTTTTTTAAAGTTAGCCGCTAGTCCTTCCCGGAGTTCCCCCCTTCTGGCCGCTCCGGAATTTTCCGGCGGTAGTCCTCCTATTTCTTAAGGAAATTAACGTTTATAATATTATTTACGCCCGGATTCTTTTATATTTACTAACCTCGTAATATAGTATATAATACGTTAATTATTATATCGAAAATATAAGTTCGATTCCTATCGAGGTTTTTTTATATTTATATTATAATATCTTTCTGTAATTCGGGTATAATTTTTTTTATTTACTTAGGTTTTAATCGGTTTAACTATTACCGGTAAAATTCTTTTTATTTATTTAAATAATTAAAGTTTATTTTTAATTCCTATAAATTATTTATAGCCGGATATTTTAATTAATTAATTAAATACTTTAATTAATTTTTATTAAATTATAAATCTAATATTTTTTTTATATTATACCTTTTTTTTTATCCTTCGCTATTACCTATATATTAACTTTACTTACCAGTAATATAGATTCCAGAAATAAAATATAAAAGGTATATAACTTTAAATATATCGTATTAAGTAACTTTAATTTAAATACTATTTCCGAAATCTTTTTTTTAATTTTAAAATAAGTTTACTCTTTTATAGTTTAGCTTTTTATTAGGTCTTTTAATACGTAAATTACGTATAGAAAAGAATATTATATTTCTCTCTTTAAAGTAAGGTCCCTTAAGCCTTTTAATATTATAGTATTTCTATATCCTTTCTTTTATAAACTCCAGTTTTTACTTAAGTTTATTATAAAATATATATAACTTATTTACCTTTACCCTAATATTAGGTACTTTAACGTTAAGTCCCTACCGTAAATTTACTTTATATTTAAAGTTTACGAAAAGTAGTATAGCTTTAATTATTTCTATTAATAAAATATTATATATTAATTATATTATAAATAATAGTTTAATTTAATTATTTTATTCGAAATTAATATAATTTTATAAATACTATTCTATAATCTAATTAAGCCGTTCCGTTTAGCCGTCTATCTAAAGGTAATAAACCGAAAATACTTTATTTATTACCCCGAGCTTCGTTATTAACGCTCTCTAAAACTTTAATACGAATTTAATATCGCGGTTTATAATAAATTCCTTCGGCTATATATATATTACTATAATATACTATAGTACTATATTTGCTAATTACTTTACTATTTAAATTTTTTTATAAAATAAAAAATATATTTATTTAATAAGCCTATCGATTATTATTAATATATTATTTATTTTAACGTTAATTATTATATTTTTTAACTTTAGTAATTTAATAATAAACTCTATCGTAATTAAACTCTATAATCGTTTTACTATTAATAATAGTTCTAGAAATCTATAAGGCTTATACCTTATAACCTTTGTTTTCTCGTACGTATAATATAATTAAATAACTTCTTTAATATTATTCTTAATCCTTAATTAATTAAAGTATTATTTAATCCTTTCTATAATCTTTATAATACTTACATATCCTCCGAACTTCGATCTGTAAATCTCTATTATTAGTACTATCTTATTACCTAGCTTTACGTACGTTCGATTCTTATACTATAGTCTTCCCTAATTATTTTTTTAAATATTCTATAGCTTTAACTCCTCCTATTAATATTATTCTATAATATCGTTACCCAACTTCCTTTAATATTTATTAAAAATAGTTTATTTATAATATACTATATAATATTTTATTTACGGCTAAAGTAAATACTTAAAAGTACCTTCTAGCGTTTCTTTAAGTAATAATAGTAACTCTCTAAATATATCCTTATAATAATCGGCTCGCCGGCTAAATATATTTGCCCTAACGTTCTCCAAACCCTTTTTATAATTAATTTAGAAATTAAATTCCGAAAAAAACTCTAACTATCGTGTTTACCGTACGTTAAGAACCTTTATAGTAGTAAAGTATCGTAGGTTTTTATAATCTATTGTCACGGACCTGACATAAGTGGGGAGCGCGGGGCGCGACCCGTCCAACTACTAGGAACGGAAAAGTGGGGAAGTCAGATTATCACTAGCGCTAAGGGTGATAATCACGATTATCATCAGCCTTCGGTGAACGACGAGTGATAATCGACATTATTACTGGTGATAATGGTGATAAACAGGTCTATATATACGGAGGAACTGGCTGGTGTAGATAGACAGTTCCGCAGTATGCAATTCACAATTGTATTCACGGTATCTTGTGTTTACATTGAGACATCTTGTTGTGCACTGTTTAGCTGCACCGAACCAATTGTTAGAAGTTACCTTCAACCCGTATCCCTTTCAGAGGTTCTGTGCAGGGGTTCGTCACAGTATGACTTATCTTTAAGCTTTTAAATACGAGCGAGAAGCTGGTCGATAGTAAGTTAAGTAGATGCCCCTGCCTAAGTATTAACGTTTCCGGCTATAGCGTTAATTTACTACCTTTAACTTATCCATAATAGAGTTAAAATAAATATATAACGTATAACGAACCTTTATCCAGAACCTCTAAAAGGGATACTAGTCGAAGGTACTTCTAAATAATCCTAGTTCGGTGCAGCTAAATAATATATAATAAAATATCTTAATCTAAATATAAAATACCGTAAATATAAGCTATAATTATATACTACAGAACTATCTATTTACACTAGCTAGTTCCTCCGTATATATAGACTTGTTTATTACCCTTATCACAAGTGATAATGTCGATTATCACTCGTCGTTCACCGAAGGCTAGTAATAATCCAACTTCCCTACTTTTCCGTTCCAGTGATTAGCCGAGTCGCGCCCCGCGCTCCTCACTTATGTTAAGTCCGTGACACAGTAGCACTTATTTCAGTATATAGTTTTATATATTTACGGTTATTATGATGTCTTTATTATTAATCTGAAGGGTTATTAATTTATAAAGCTAAACTAAAATTTTAAAGTTAATTATAAAATATAAATTAATATTATTAATATCTTGTAATATATATTTCATAAATTAAAAGGAGAAGTAGGAAATTAAAGTAAAGGTAAAGTGGGGTTTTTAGGCTATAAACGAAATTTTTAGGTACGATGCAGAATGAAAATTCTAGCAATTTAATTTTGGACTACTTACCTTATCGTCCGTTGTACCCAACGCCCAATTGGGACGACTTGGAAGCGTGTTCAGCCCCAGCTGGAAAACCGGGGAAACCATTGCGCAAACCTCCATCAAAATCAAGGGTCCAAAAGAGGGCTAGATGAGGATGCATATATTTGAGACTGGTCCTCCGTGAATATAGCTGCCACATGTCGTCGATGGCCTGGAACCTGCCACGCTCTCTGGCTCTTGTCTTCCTTGGTGTTTCATTCCTGGTGCTCTGAGACGGTGATTTGCGCTACCCTTGTCGCGTCGATCAGGTCTTGGCCAACCGCGCCAACCACTCGGATGCCGGCGCTCTCGATCCCTCATTGTGGCTGAGCCCCTTTCCACTCGAGAAACACAGCGGCAAACCGTCAACACAGCCGCTTGGCCTCGCACTCCCTTTTGCAAATCTGCGCTGCTTCTGTGTGAAGGAGGCCGGACCAACTCATCATCAGGGTTCAGACTCCAGATCGGTTAATAATAATTCCTATTGCAACAGAAGAAGGAGATTCCCGTTTGGCATCTTCAAGAGTCTGGCTTGGGAAGCGCATCGTTGGATGCTGCGGCTCGTTTGGTATCTCATCCAACATCTTATTGTTTTCTTCGCTGGACACTGGTGGTCAATCAATCTTTTCCCTTGTCGTCGCATCTGCAGTCCGACAATCTCGTCACTGGTTTTACCTCCGTTTCCGTACCTACCTACGATCTACCTTGCCTGCAAATACCACGGAGTATCCCTCTCACACCAACGGGTCTAGTCTGCGGCACCGGGTAGTGTGGCTGCTGTCCGCCCCCCCGGGCTCCTCTCATTGTTCCTGTCGCCGCAACTCACCACCACCATCACACCGCACTTCGACTTCCCGCGCCCGCCCCGGCTTCTTCTTGTCCCTCTTTCATTCCTCTTTTCTGGGGATTAGCCAGGGGCTTCCCGATGCCCGACGATTCCATACGCCCTCTGATAACTGCCCGCTCCATCTCACCTGCTCCGACATTTCCAACTCGCGATACATTCGATACTATGGATCTCGCCGGCGGTAACGTGGTGAGGAAGGGCAAGCTTTCTTGGGTTGTTGCGCTGTCCTACGCTATCGACTGGATCATTCTCATCGCCGTTGGCGTCGTTGGATACATTTTAGGTCATATTACACCAAACAAGCGGCCGTTCGCGCTCGACGACCGCAATATTTCGTATGTTTTTAGGTCCCCTCCTCCCGCAATTGATGTCAGAGCCGCTGAAGCTGACGTTTCACCATTTTTTCACTCTAGATTTCCCTATGCCGAACAAGAAACAGTGCCAGTATGGCTCGCGGTTGTCATCAGCGTCATGTGCCCGATTGTCATCATCGCCGTCATCTGCCTCGTTTTCGTGCCCGGTTCCACCGTCCCCCGAGGAACACCCAAGTCGTTAATATGGCAGCGCAAGCTCTGGGAGCTGCACCAAGGCTGGTTGGGTTTGGCTCTATCTGTTATGGCAGCTTGGATCATCACCAATGGCATGAAGAACTTGTTCGGAAAGCCGCGTCCGGATCTTCTTGACCGGTGCCAGCCAGACATGGAGAACCTCAAGGATTATATCATTGGCGGGCTGCTCAGATTGAATAGCTCATTGACTCCAGGCCACATCCTCGGTCCTGGCACCCTCGTGAGCCCCAACATTTGCACGAATCCAGACAAGGCTGTGTTGGACGATGGCTTTAGGAGCTACCCTAGCGGCCATTCTAGTTCAGCCTCAGCTGGTATGTAAACTCTTTCACAATGTCAAGGCAGTATCCAAACTAACAATCCTCCAGGTCTCGTTTACCTCTCCCTTTTCATTGCGAGCAAGTTCGCGATAACAATCCCGTTCTTCTCCACTTCAGGCTCGTCGGCCGATCACGAAACCACCGCCGCCGCCTTCCCCTCCAGAACCCGCATTCCCAGCGTCAAGGTCAGCGGTCCGGATTCGTATGAGCTTTCCAACCGCAGCCCCTCAGCCCTCACCAACTCCATCGAAGACCCGGCCCTCTTATCCAAAGGCGTGACGGCAACGAACCGAAAGATAGCAGCAGTCCGCCGTCAGGCCGCGGCGCCACCTCTGTATCTCCTCCTGGTAGCCATCATCCCCTTCTTCGCATCAGTCTACATTGCCGGCTCCCGCTGGTGGGATTTCAGGCACCACGCCTTCGACATCCTCTTTGGCTACCTCATCGGCCTCGTCGGCGCCATCTTCGCCTTTAGGTATTACCACCTCCCCATCTCGCGCGGTGCGGGCTGGGCATGGGGACCCCGCAGCCACGACAAGGCCTTTTGGGCTGGTGTGGGAAGCTACAGCTATGCCACGAGCCGCACGCGCGGCACGTACCGCTCGGGCGACGAGGAGGAGGCCCTGGGCGCGCCTATCGAGCCGTACGGACGGGGAAGCGGCATGAGCAGTGTCGCTCCTGTGGCGCCGAGAAAGGGCGGGTCGCAAGGGATGGACGCGAGGGACGAGGATACGTCATATACCGGGGCTTCGGGGAACGATCACAGCCCTGAGCCACATGCGAGATGAACAACAATAATAACATGATTTGATCGTTGACTCGTTGACGCTTTGTTTCATGTCGTCATTTGGCGGAGGTAGGTGGGTTTCTGGATACACACATGTTATTGGAATGACACAAACGACTGGGCTGAACATGGGACTGGACTTTTAGGGCGGGCTGGTTTAGGGAGGGGCTGTTTTTTCTCTTTTTTCCTTTCCTTTTCCCCGAAAGGCAGGCCGGTTGATTGATTTGGAAAAGGGGCGAGGCGAGTGAAGAAGGGGGTGAGGTCGTTTTCTTTCCGACAGGGATTTATTGACTCGATCAGCGTTTGGTCGCTTGGTACAACCTCTATTCTTTTGTCGACTTTTTTTCATTTGGTAGTTTTGAACAATTCTTTGTAACGGGCGTTGGGGGCAAGCCATTTTCTTTAGGTGTGTATCAAAAAGACAGGTATCACAGGCCTTTTTTTTTATCTTTTTGGGTCCGTTGGCTGGGCAGAATCACATCTGTTTTTACAATCGATTAATCTGTGTGGACCACATGCTATGTGTGATATCACTTGAAAGAAGCTGAGCATATGGACAAGGCGCTGAACCATGAAGAAGGGTCGGTATGAGTCTCATTACATACAGACAGCCTGGTAAGAAGTACTCATCCAGGTCAATGTACAGCTACTTCATCAGTCCTAACACCGATCCCCACACCCATCCAATTAACCCCCTCCTCCCCCTCCCTCCGCAAGCCAAGCCCCCTTTCTCACAGTGAACGCCAGAGTGTAGATGCTGCCAACCAAAGCCCAGTAAAAGTTCCATGTGTTGTGCGTGTGGTATTGTGTTGTTAGAATGCTGTGACAAGTGACCGCTCCTTCAACAGTGCGTTGCAGCGGAAAAACCCCATCAAGACCAAAATGGAAAAAAGACGCTGAATAAAAAGCCCCAAGAAAAAAGCCCAGAACCACTACCAGAAAAAAATGCATGATCCGTTCAAATGTAAACCAAACACCACCACTTCCTAACCCACAGAACCCATCTACACATCGTGCCCCCACCTGGGATCGCCACCCTCACATACGTTCATCCAGTCTCGATTCACTGCAGTGTAGCGACCTCTCCAGCACCCCGGTATTGCACCACCGCCGCAGGGTTGTGATCCATAGCATCCTCCATCATCTCCTCCTCTTCGTCCTCCTCCTCTTCGTCCTCATCGTCGTCCTCCCCGTCCACCTTGGCAAAGCCGCTGTCAACCTCCATCTTCCGCAACCTCCTCCTCATCTCCCCCCTCTCCTTGTTCTGCCACCTCACCAGGGCAGCCGCGGCGTGCACCTTGAATCCGTAGACGCGGGGAACGTACCGCTCTGTGGTCTTGGGGGGCACCAGAGCGGGATAGACCTGGAAGAGGATGTTGTGGAATGAGGTCCCAAAATAGGCCCCGTCAATGGCCGAGTGGCGGGTTGATTTGGGGTTGTAGATGTCCTCGCAACGGGCGCAGTAGAGCTTGACAGCCTTTTGGTTGGCCACGTCCGAGAGGCCCATCGGGAGGAGGGGGTGGGAATGGCACATCACGCGGGGGCATTTTCCAAAGTCGCATTTCTTGTACTTCTCCAGCTGTTTTGGTGGGTGATTCATATCAAATTAGCTCTCCAAAATATGACAAGGAACAAAGGCTTGAAGGGATGCGAAATCAAACAAAACATACCATCTTTGCCAGGCCGCGCGTAGTGACGATATACCGAGCGTGAATAAGTCCATACAAATGCCTCGCCGACTTTTCTATGGTCTCGCGCATCTCATCGTCGCAGTCGAGGTCGAACACGTCCGTGATCAGGTCGAGCGCGTATTGGTAGTACTGAACCTCGGTGTTCAGTCCCGTCAGGTTGAAGCGGTCTGTCAGGTAGTCTTCATCGATTTCGCAATAGTATTCGTTGCCGCGCGACGAGATGAACTGTTGCGATGTGCGTCTGTTAGCTGGCATGGTGTTTTTTTTTTCGTTGCTAACGAAGTGTATAAGGGGGAGGAAAAGGGGGGGGGAGGGGGGAAATATATGGCATACCCAATCCCTCCAGTAACTGGTGTAGTCACTGTCTGAGTCGCTTACAAAATCATCCATGCCGGCCATGTTTGTCGCGCGCGCAGAAAGGGGCCTATGGTCGAAAGGATGATTTGTCTGTCTGGGGGTTCGTTCGGGCAACACCCTAAACCGGCGGCTTGCTGGATGGGGGACGGGACGGGAGAGGGGTCGACGGGAGGAGCTTGGGTGAGAGCGGTCTGGGTTGGCGGACGCGTTGTACGTGACAGCGGGCTGAAATAACACTGCTGAGCGCCGATGATTCGTGTGCGATGCGGCTCTTCGATGGTATGTTGGCCAAATCTTTGGCTGACTTGGACTGGCCTTTAGGTTGGATTGATGGCCTGTGGTGGGGGACTTTTGCGCACTGTGGTGAAGAGGGTCCCAAAGCGAGGGGCAGGGACCTGGCATTATTTCTGCCGATGTACACCGCCTCCCCTATCAACATGACCCCCACGTAGTCTTCATGTGCAAGTCAACGACAATATATTGCAGCAGAAAATCAAGACATGATTGTTGTGTCAATTGAAGCAATGCAGTTCAGTCACTGATCCAGCCACATCACCAATATATTCTAGCACACAATCCGAAGCCAAACCATCAGACATCACCCCCCTGGAATCTCGCCTGAAATGCCTTGATCAGATCTCCCATCGACTTCTCATAGAGCTCCGGTTTACTCGTCGTATTCTTGACATACTCATTCTGCTCCAGCGCATCAACCCACTTCTTCCACCTCATCTCCAACAGAGGTTGCGTCCATCCCGGCAGTTGGTGAAGAAGGTAAGGCAAACGGATCGCGAAAGGGGCGAGGTGAATGTCGACAAGACTGAAGTGGTCACCCAAGAAGAACGGTCCGTTTTCTTCGGCGTGTTGGACCAGCTCGGCGATATCTCGCTCCAGCTTTTCCGCCGCTTGTCTCTTGGGTTCCTCTTCAGTAGCCGATACGAGGAGGTAAAATGATGGAACTATTCTTGAGTTTATCTGTTCACGCGATTAGTCCTGTTTCAAAAAAGAGATGATGAAGTGGATGTCGACATGGCCTTCTTACAAATTCTATCCACAGCCGACAATTTGCTTTCAATCTTGCATCAGTAGGCAGCAATACTAAATTTCCATGGCCTGAATCTACGAGCTTTTTCAACTAACTTGTCAGCATCGAAGGCGTATCACGACGAAGCATCAACGCCCAGGTGGGCACAACACCTACATATTCAAGAATGACTGTGCTTTCTGCGCAAGCCCAGTCACCTTGTCGAATGGCGGGCACCAGGCCTCTCGGATTCGCTTCGAGCAGCAGGGTAGGCTTCGGCTTTTGCAGAGGGTAGATCTCGCAATATTGATAGTCAAACCCTTTGGCTTCCAGAGCAATCCAGACTCGTTGCGAAAAGGGGCTAATCGGCTGCCGTTAGCAGTGAGAGCTGAAGAGGGCCGAACGGCATTGCTCGCCTACCAGAAACAGGATGCGTAAAACTTGATCACGCCTTCTTTGGCATGCTTCTTTGCGGTCTCGGCGGCAAGCCCCGTTGCCTTCCAAGGTGATAATGACGACGGCTTTGGTGGGCGTTTCACATCCTTCTGTCGTTTCGACCGCTTCCGTTCCATCTCCTGCTCGGCCAACTCTCGATGTCTTGTGCTCTTCTTGATTTGATCACTCCTTGCCAAGTCATGTTTGTGCTCTGCAGGTTTGCCGTCGCCAATGCCGTTTGTGACACTTCCGTTGATGCGTTGAAAAGTGTACAAAACTTGGTCCTGATGTCGGATACGCGCAAGAGCCTGCCCAAGTTCCGGATTGTTCGTGGCGGCAGCTTCCAGTTCTGCAGTAGAGCCTGGCTCATACTTGGTGATTTTTATCTTGACATCGCACAAGCCAAGACCGCGAGCATTTCGTTTCCTCTTCTTCTTCAGGGGGTCATCTGACTTTTTGGTTCCCGAAGGGCGGCCCTTGAGACGACAGTCATAATACTTCGCTTCAAAGGGCTTGCTTTTGTACTGTTGCGTCGAGCGGTGGCTGTAAATGTTGTCGATCCAGGGGAAGTACGCCTCGTACCTTGAAGCCGTTGTGTTCCGTTGAGTATACCATATTCACACAAGACAAATGAAAGGCTCAGACTCACTCCTCGTTGTTCAGTAACACGATATCCTCCAGATCGAACAACTTTTGTCTCCATGCTTTGACCGCCGAGGACTCCTCTCTCAGCGGAGTGACGCCATGCCCATGGTGTGATGTTGGCTGAGCGGGTGAGTTCGGTGTCACTGCAGGTGAGCTCAAGCCGTCAAAAAGGCCAGGCGTAGTGGAAGACGCAGGTGTGTCGGTATGCCTCCCGACCTCCTGGCCTTGGCGCTGATGAGGCAGTTGCTTTCTCTGGTGTGTTTGTTGCTGTCGATGCTGGTGTGCTTCATGGGCCACGGTACTGATTTCAGCTCGACGGTTGTTATAGTTGCTGGCATACCCACTCAAGTCAGCGGGAAAGACAGGACTATTGCCCGGAAAACTATCAACTTGTGGCACACTTAGAGCAGGTAGGCCATGGGTCGAGTGAGAGTGTTGGATTTGTTGCGAATCCCCAGCTTCCCGGCCGCTGTGAAGGTGAAGTTGATGCTGCGGTCCGTGATGTGGGTGTAAGTGCAGTGGGGAGCGGCTTGAAGAACGGGGCCCAGCTTCAACGCCAGGCACATACAATGAATCCATGATCGGTTTTCGCAGACATAACTCGAGACGGAGCCTTGCGTGTGGATATACACAGGCTTCAACTTGCAGTGGTCATGATACTCTTCTTAACCAAGCTTAGTCCCCAGTGACGAATCACGAGTAGGCTACCACTCCTGGCATGCAGTTAGTCTGAAGAATCCCAACTGCGGTATGAGATATCGAGAACCGTGGAGGTCAGGGTGAAGGATGCCGGGCGTCGGCAGCGGCAAAGAGGAAGTCTGCTGAAAGCCGAAGGCCAGTCGAGGGGTTGCCTTGCCGTTGCACGGACCACACATATCAGCCTGGATGGGCTTGGCGCCCATGATCACAGTGCCTCGTTCCCGAACGAGAGGTGAGATTGGGGATGTTGGTATGCTGATTTATTATATCAGGCACCTATAGAGCGCCCAATTCGATGATGATAGTAAGGTAGCAAGTGCTGCTCCAAGAACCTAACTCTCTGTTGTTCTATATCCAACTTGGCGCAATCCTCAGCCATACTACTCCAACTGTTGTTATAGACACTACTATGAATAGTCGTCTCTGTTTTCCGACCGGGTGCCGCTGATAATGCTCCCCGCATCACTGGCTGATTGACCCTCCAGCTCTGAATCGCTCCCTCCAATACGTCTCGAAGCATCGCTTATCGGCCTGAATACACCACTCGAGGGTATCTCTAGTCTCGCCATAAGCCCGTTCCCTGCCACCACCCCCCTATCCGGTCGTCCCCGTGTTGGGATGTTTACCATTTCCATAGCTTCTCGAAGCGTATCTCCAGTCTCATCAAGCGCGGCCAAAAAGCGCGCGAGCTCCTTGCATAGCTCCCAATCCTCTTCGAGCATCGCTCGACTCAACAGGCGCACACTCTGTTCGCTCGCAGTCGCCAACTCGTCGAATGTATGAAGAACCAGGAGGTACCCGCCCGCTGTCTTGAGGCTCCCACGCTGAAGGCTTTCTTCGAACAGCTCCTGGGGGGGGGGTAGATAGGCGAATAAGGTGCGCCAGGAGCGAAGTTCGGTTTTGCGTGTACATTGCACAACAATGTCGAGGTACTGCTTGAAGCATGACAGAAGAGACAGCACACGAGGCAGAATTGCATTCTCAGGTGCCGGAGGCGGATGCGCGTCCACTTCCTCGTCCAAGACATGATGCAGCAGCACCTCGAGAGCGTGCGCAAAATATTCAAGGTGCTCATGCTCCCGGGCAAGTTGTAACGCCTCTGTAGACTTATTCGCAACCAAATATGACCGGAGGATATCGGGTAGGAAAAGGTGTGTCTGCAGACAGTGTTAGTCGAAGGTGTCTGGATAAAATTTATCTGAGAAACCCTTACCCTGATACAAAAACGGAAGAATGAAAAATTGATATCACGGCGTTGAATCAGCTCTGATTCGACACCGAGGATGATCGCCTTTCCGAGAAGTGTCGAAAGTGGATAGAAGTCGACAGGTATAGAAATCATGGATGGTATGTCCCTTGACACTTCCCCCGATATCGCCTTCAGCACGGGATCCATATCCGCCCAGGCTTTGAGCTCGGTGCCATCAAAGATCCAGAGAGAATCCTGCAGACTTGGATCGGAGGGCCCGTTTTGAAGTTCGCCTGATCTCTGCGAGGCCACTTCCAAGAACGGCTGGTCCCTCATACTGGTATAATACTCGACATTGTGACGGATGACACGCATGTCGTATTTCAGGTTATTCTCTTGAACCGAAGGTCGCAACAACACCAGCTTCCCATCTACCAGAAACAAGACAGATGCGTGGGCAACATCCTGTGATGGATCACCCTCCAGCAGTTGTCGCTCCGGCAAAATCCAGCTCAGTCCTCTCACTCTTGCAGGTGATCTCACAATGCCGTGAAATGCGATATGGCCGACCTCTATCAGCCGAATCGAGCCTGATACGGGGGCAAAGATGTAGTGATATAACAGATTGTCGTATGTGTAGGCCAATAGTGAGTCTTCACCTGTGGGAGTGATGAGAACCACGGGTGCCGACATCTGTTGAACAAACAGAGCCGTACCGCTATCAAGGGCCGCCTCGCGAGAATATAGACGCAGCTCGAAAGACCTGTTGGCCTCGACAGCAGCTACCAGTATATTCTGGTACCAACACAGCCCTCCTCTTACTTGAAACTCGTTTTCCAAGGCATCGTTGGCAAAAGTCTTCCACCGGCCACTGTTCACGCTGTAATGCGCCAGCCCTCTCCGGCCCGCAACAGCAACATACCGGCCATCAGCCGATATGGCCGTACACTTGATCGGCCATTGATTGAGCAGATAGGTAGATGGTATTCTGGCTGTGTGCCAGAGCGAAGGCTCAGCAGAGATGGATGTGAGGTCAGGCAAGTCATAGCCTCTGTAGACCATGACGCTCGCGGTGCTTTGGAGAACGGTGCGAAACAAGTTTGCAGGACTGTAGCAGCCAGTAACTGCGCTTCGTGCCATTTCCAAAAGCCAAATTGCATCGTGGTTCTTGTTGGTCAAGAGCAGCTCACAAGCGCCACCGACCCAAGCAGCATCCAGGACTCCAGAGAGCCACTCCTCTCCGTTTGTCGAAGCAATCAAATGATCAGCATGAAAGCTGCTGCTGAGTGGCTTTCCGTATACGCTCCACGTGGCCCATCCCTTCTCGTACCCGGCAAACAAGCAGTAGCCATCTGGTGAGTAGCTCAGCGTGGTAAGCTTTCCCGATGCACCAGGAGAGACAGGAACACTGTGGGTATGGGAAGATGGGATGTTTCCAGAATAATCGCGAGCCGAATACACGCGGACAGTGCCATCTGCGCAACTAACGGCGATTAATGAGAACCGAGCATTGATCACGCACCGTACAGCATGATGCTGCTCAGTGCTTGGTACATGAAAGCAATAACCCTTGAATAACTTCTTGGGGTCTGGTGGTTCGTCAGACTCGCTCGACTTCTGATTTGGATTCAGCCGCTGGACCGCATATGCCTTTCCATCACTCGTTATCCAGGTCGAAAGATTCATAGGCCTGTCGTGCGTCATCTCTTTGACTGTGACCTTTTTCTCCAGCCAAGCCATTCTGCTCAGTAATTCCGTGGTGGTCTGGCTGCCCGAGCTGTCGGGTGACCAGCGTATGCACTGTACAGCGGCAGGCTTGCGCGTAGCCACCACCAACTCATCATCCAACGCCAAAGCGCTCTCGATCCCAGCATCCACCTTAATCACCATCCGGAAGCGAATGCTCACATCTCGCACGCCGGCCCCTTCACCTGGGCCCCACAGTATCTGATCTGGGGCAGTGTGTCCAGGATCCCCAGCGTGGCTTTGGCGTCTGCGCTGAACATTGGTATGGCTTGCAAAATGCGGTTTGTATACTCGGGACTCGGCATCTGTGGCCAGGGAATAGGTTATCAGATATCCCAGGCTTGTATGTACAACAAATATGGCAGAGTCGGGTCGCAAAAGCAAGTTGATGTTCGTTCCATAAGATTCGAGAGAGGCTTCTGATCGCACGACCACGGCAAGGACGACAGTAGGCTAGTAATACGGTGTCAGTACCTCAGCGCAAGGCGCATATCAAGCTTCAGAAGGAGACAGCTGTTCCCACCTTGGTCTGCCACACCGTCATGGAGGTGGGTGTGATGGTAGCGAAGAGGTGACCGGACCGAGCCACGCGCAAAGCAACAACGGGTTCGTGAAGGGGAATGCCAGGGAGTTCTGGTCCTGGAGAATGCTCAGGGGTTCCGTCTTCTGGATAGTCATGCTCGACAGATTTGATGCCCGGCGTCATTGGCGTCATGGGGGTGGGAGGTGGAAGCAGCCCATCCTGGCTCGTTGACGGGTTGGGCGATAACAGAGACGAATTCTGGTCAGGTCTTTGTCCCGAGGCTCCTGCGCTGGGAGTGGGAGGCGGCAAGCCATCGTGAGACACAGAGCTGGGAAGGGCGCCGGGCTGGCGAACGGTGTTGGTCGCATATATTCGCGGGGTTCCAAGCGGCCAGTACATGGCTGCTTCACGGCGGCTTCATGCGCATCCACTGACCACGACCTCGGTATCCTTGGACCCAGCGCGTCGACGTCAATTCATGACGGGATGGAATCGAATTAGTCAAGAGGCGTTACCGACGACTGCATCAAAAGCCCCGGCCAACGGTTTGTCCAAAAGCAAGACGGACAATGCAGGACAAGACCATCCGATTTGGTTGAAAGGAGGTTGACAGGTGTGATCTGGTCCAGATGTCCGCTACTGTAGGCCCCACTTGTATTGTGTCCAAGTGGGGTCCATCCTAGACAACTGATACTTGTTGAACTGCTAGTGAGAGACACCATAACAACCTCTCTCCTCCAGCAGATATACCGCCCAACACCATGCTGATGGTGTTCCGTATATGCTGAGCACATTTTCGGCTCCAGGAAACTATATCCTGTCTCTCTCTAAGATCTCGCTTTCTTATTCCCTGCTGCATTATATGGTTGTAGCGTGGGTCCCTTGTCTGGTAGATATCTCCCGTGCTAACGTTTCTCATTCACCCCAATTCAGACTTCGATCTTTTCTTTCTTTACTGTTCTTCAGTGACCTCTGGCGATGTAGTCTTTGTTTTCCACTTGCGTAACCTTGGAAGCTCCACAGCAATGAATGACTACATGAGCCCACATATGCAAAACACAGGTCAATGTGTAGTTGGGTGGTCCGTAGCCTGTATTTTAGGGACTACCCGCTGCTTACAGTGACCAGAGTCGCTACGTGTCCCAAGAAGTGGGGCAACCCGGAACTTTGGGGTGCGGCTAAGATTCGGCAACTGCCGAGCTGATCTCCAACATCCACTCATTCGTCATTGCTACTTCGCGTCTCCTGTCACGCCTGGATTATCGATTTCATGTGAATATTGAGCAGGCGCATTAGAGTTGACCCGGCATTTAAAGCACTGCAGGACCAACCAACCCTACACGTCGCTTGACATTTCGTCCTTTCTCCGTCATCGCTCAGCGGAGACAGGGCCATTCTCTCACTAATACGTCGTCGCCAATATTTTGATATCTTTGAAGATGCCACCTCCAGTTCGCAATAGACAGAGCCTATCCAAGGACAAGTTTGCGGGATACTTTGCACCACTGAAAAGTCAGACGTACCACGAATCCACCCAATCTAGAGGAGGCGGAGTTGGAAGGTTAGTTCTCTAATCTGAACGTCTTGTGGTAGGCATGGCTCATTCGAATCCAATTCCAGTATTCGCTCGATAGCTTGGAATCCCGTTGGAAGCCTTGTCGCAACTGGTTCGGCTGACAGAACCCTTCGTGTTTGTAAGCGATTCAGATATCACCTAGCCACCACCAGTCAAAGCTCACAAGCATGCTAGGGAATCCTGAAAAGCCCAATGCGCGGTTCTCGACCGATTTAAAGGGTCATGCTGCAGGCATTGAGAAAGTGGCCTTCAATCCCGTCAAGGATGCAGAACTTTGCAGTCTCAGCAAGGACGGTGTTGCCAAGTTCTGGGATGTAAGAACGAAAGCCTGTGTGAACGAGGTCAAGGACCTTGGAGATGCACACGCCCTCGCCTGGGCCCCTGATGGGTCCTCACTTCTTGTAGGAAACAGGGTGAGTTTACCAAATGACTTGTCACTGCAGCATGGACGACTGACTTGGCTTGAACGTAAACAGAGTGGCGGGCTTTTCCGAATCTCGCCAACCGAGTCCGCCATTCTTTCATCTCATCCACAGCCCGTTGAGGCGTACCAGATGTCCTTTTGTTGGTCGGGCAAGAAAGTATTTCTCCCGACAAGGGAAGGAAGTATCCGCATCTTGTCTTATCCTGAGCTGGAGCCGATTCTGCACGTCAACCATGCCGTCAAGCCTGGCGAGTCAGATGAGTTTATTCTCAAGGGCCACACAGCCCCATGCCTGACGACCGAACTGTCACCCACCGGAAAGTACCTTGCAACAGGAGGGGGGGACGCAATTATGTCTCTATTTGAGACCCAAGACTGGATCTGCAAGCGTACGAATACACGCATTGTCGGGCCAGTGAAGAGCATCAGTATGACAACAAACCCCCCATCATGGCCTGTACATTCATGCTAATCTGATTATAGGCTTCACGTTCGATGGTCGATATGTCGTCGGTGCCTGTGAAGACAGTATGGCAGTCTGTCACCTTTCTAAAATAGAAAACCTGATGCTAATTCGATCTTACAGGCCCTGGTTTGGATGTCACCCATACAGAGACAGGGGAGCATATTCACACGTTCAAAACAGCTGGACCTTGTCATGCCTTAGCGTGGGCGCCAACTAGGTATTGTCTGGCCTATAGTGATCTGGGGATTCTACGCATCATTGGACTCGATGCGGATAGAAAATAAGGGGCAATGGGCTGCCAGACGACGGCACATAAATCAGCAGTGTGGTAAGCTGCCCCAGATTCAAGGCGAATGGTGCCCAGGCTTGTTGATACGTCTAGCCCCTTGCGTTCGCTCATTCCAACAATCGCCGGGGGAGGCTCGGCATGGAGACAAGCGAGCTTTCGGCCAGGTGTGGCCGTGACGGCAGGGCTATCAGCACGGTGCAAAATTACCCCGACTTGACGACCATTTTCAGGGACGGCTATGGGATCGCCATAGATCGAGGTGGCTGTGCGATGGGCCCTGTCTGGGAGATACTTTTGAAGGCAAAAATATATATGCTAATGACGGAAACCACGTGGAAGAGATGTAAGTCCAGGCGAGACGGGTCGTGAAACCACGGCCCATGGGAGGAAGTTGTACGTTGAAAACAGAGCTCATGTGGTACAGCTATCATGTATTGTTACGGACCACGCAGTATGGCAGGCCCCATACGCTAGCGAAATGCTTCCATCAATGAAGATAATGATTACAGCCTACTCTTTTACACTGACCTAGCAGTTGTGGACAGGAAAAGCCTTGTCCTCTTACCACTTTTTAAACTTCACAACCACAGCAACAAGGATTTTCTGAACTCCAGGGAATTAGTTAGCCAATCAGAGCGTCATCAGATAGAGGAAGATGCAGAGAAGGGTGTGGAACAGATAATCTGGCGGGCTGTGACTATTAATAATACTACCTACCATACAGGGGACAAAGGGATGCATCAGAGAGGCACAATTGGGTGCGTCTGACGCTTCACAACTCTCACAAATACAGAACACAAACTGTGAAAATAAACTGTGTATACAACAGACGGGAGGGTAGATAGGCTGGGAGAGATAAATGGGGCTGAAGCATAAATGTTTGCTCAAGTCGACCACCTAGGCCTGAATAGTACAAGGGCCCGTGATGTTTCTAAAAACGGTCTTCCATCGCAAGCCCGAGATGCAGGTGCTTGGCCGTTGGGATGATCGATTCGGCGGGGCCCGTTGAGCTGTGCTGGTAGCGCATCGTCAACGGGGCGGGCGGAAACCTGGAAGGAGGGGTCATCATCAAACGGTAACGTGGGGATGGCAAGCTCTATCAAAAGGATACCGTGTGCTGTTTCTCCATTGGTCTGTCGTCGCTGGATGTGGGACACGACTGCGGCGCTGTTGCCTTGCGCACCAAAGGGAAGAGGGTTCTGTACATTTGCTTCATTTGGCTGCCACTGCTAGCTTCGCATCGCATCCATTTCATTTGCATGGTTGTGGGACTTTCAAACGGCCTAGAGAGAACTATACCGTGACCCTCTCCCAGGGTTCCAATTCCGACCGTGTCACTTCAGTGTGATTAGAGACTGTCCGCGAATAGCACCTCGTAGGGCCGGACGGGGGCATCTGATACATTACATACTTCTCTCCTACCTACCCTTCATCTGCGCTCCATTAATTCCCTTACCGCTCTCTCTCACTTTCGACATCTCACAGCCCGAGTCAATCCTCGGTGTCCCTGGCTGCGTATTCCCCGTGTTGTTGCACGACTTGCTCAAGCACACCCCCTCGCCGCCAATTATTTACTAGCAAAGCCTCAAAAAAGCGGAACGTCGATCAGCTGAAAGTGCCAGGTCCCAAGGACGTGGACACGGCACCTTTGCCTTTTCCACCTTAATTACTTCCCCAACACCAACTCAACGAGTGCGCCGGACCTACCCCGTTCTGCCGCAACCCAGCTCTTCGTCTTCTATGATAACCCCTCCGAGCACCGGATCTCAGTTGCGCTGTCACCGGAAGCGCTTGTGCACAGTGGTACTAATAGGCGATTGAGAGATACACAGTCCGGAGAATTCACATTGAAAGCTCGCCTGGCCATACCATTGGAGCCCGCAGCCTGGGCAAAGGACCCCAACGACTTTATACTCTACCAATTCCCACTTTTGGTTGCAAAGCAACGTGTTACACTATGTCGTCCTCTTCTTCAACTACTCCTCCTGACACCATCATGTTGTCGGATCCCACTGCCGATATTGGAGACGCCGTCAATCGCATTGACGTACCAGCTGGAGGCAACTCAAGCGTCCCAAAGACGAAACGGCTGGCTTGTATGATATGCAGGAAAAGGAAGCTGAAGTGTGATGGCATCAAACCTAGCTGCAGCACCTGCTCCCGTCTCGGGCACGCCTGTCAGTATGATGAAGTCAGGAGAAAGAGCGGGCCCAAGAGAGGCTATGTGAAGGCGCTGGAAGAACGATTGAGTATGTAGTCTTGGTTTCGGCGAACCCGGCCGACTGTTATGTCTATGAGACATGTGCTAATTCATGCCATGCAGAACAAGTTGAGACCATGCTTAAGTCCCAGGAGGTCACGTCAACAAGTCCGGATGGAAGCAAAGCCATGCCCACATCTGTCGACAGCGGATCGAAGCAACAGCGCCCTATGAACCAACGAGCCGCTGCGACGGCAAACTTCAATGTCACAGATCCATCCATCGGGATCGCAAGCAGCCGGGACATGGATCGATGGCCATTCAACCCCGAGTCTCCGAACAGGGTCGACGAGTTCAACTTCAATAGTAACATGATGGGGATGAGCGCAGTCGATGGAAACTTCACGTGGGAGATGATTGGGCTGGGGCTGGAAGAGCCATTACCTCCCCAAGAGACCATCGATGAACTGTAAGCGAAGGCTGTATCCTGGTTATAGGAACCCTCCTCGCTAACGTTCTCCTAGTCACCAGATTTACTTTGAAAAGATTCACCCTTCAGTACCCATGATTCACAAATACCGGTATCTGGCTGCTATGAACCTGTAGGTGGCCATCATTAAGCCAAGATTCGACACACGGCTGACAACTTGACAGCGCCCCTGCACAACGCCCGCCTGTCTGCCTCCGGTATGCCATGTGGACATTGGCATGTTCTGTCACCGAAAAATATCAAAATCTCAAGGACCTTTTCTACCAGAGGGCACGAAAATATGTTGAAGCGGATTACATCAAGGGGTACGGTGAACACATGATCTCGGTAGCTCATGCGCAAACGCATGTCCTTCTTTCGTCGTATGAGTTCAAGTGGATGTACTTTCCTCGAGCGTGGATGAGCACAGGTTCAGCTGTCCGGCTGTGTCAGATGTGAGTGATGCCATGCATGATCGGGCTATGAGGTGTGCTAACAATGTACCAGGATTGGCCTCCACCGCCTGGATGGTGCTGGTCTGGATGTGAAGCAGTGCCTACCACCAGCTCGTGACTGGACAGAGCGGGAAGAAAGGAGGAGGACATTCTGGATGGTTTTCTGCCAAGATCGATATGCGAGTATCGGCACGGGGTGGCCTATGACTATTGACGAAAAGGACATCCTGACGAACCTCCCATCATCAGACGAAGCGTTCGAACATAGTCGCCCCGAACAAACGCCATCCCTCGCAAACGCCATGAGCCCTCAAGGTGCCGGGAAACTCACGGCTTTTGGCGGCATTGTTCTTTTGGCTTGTTTATTTGGTCGCAACCTCGTACACCTCCATCGTCCAGATGCAGACGAGCGCGACCACGACCTCAATGGCGACTTCTGGAAGAGACATCGTCAGCTGGACAACATTCTACTCAACACCTCTCTATGTCTGCCTTCCAAGCTCAAACTGCCAAACGGCTTGACGAACCCCAATATTGTCTTCATGAACATGTGCATACACACCTCCACCATTTGCCTTCACCAGGCTGCCATCTTCAAGGCAGACAAGAACAGGTTACCAAACTCGGTGAGCTCGGAAAGCAAAGTCCGTTGCATCACATCAGCCAACGAGATCGCAAGCATAATGAGAATGATATCTCATCTCGACTTGTCCGCGGTACGGCATTTCTTCAAGTTTTCCAAGGTTTTATCATTGCTGACGTCTGTCCAGATGAACCCCTTTATATCTTTCTGTCTTTACGTCTCAGCTCGGGTGTTTGTACAGTATCTCAAGAGCAGGCCCGACGACAGCCAAACCGCCGATTCGTTACGCTTCCTTCTTGCGGCCATGAGTGCCCTCAAGAAACGAAACCCTCTGACAGAATCCTTCCTGGTTCAGTTGGACGTGGATCTAGAAGCCCTTGGTGTGCGAATTCCAAAACTGAAGAGCGCTTTTCCACGAAGCACCGATAGTGTATGTCGCTTCCATCTACCTTGTTCAAGCATATAAATTTCTAACATCCTTTTGCAGCCGGGTCCGTCAAGGAATCCACATTCGAGCCAACTCAACCGCGTTCGCGAGGAAGCGACCAGGAATGGTGTACCCTACACCAACGAATGCCACTTCTTGAAGGGCATGGGCGACGACGGCAACCCAGCAAACGCACCTGATATCGTCGAAGCCGACTCCCCGAACCCAAACATCTCTGGATTCCCAGCGACAGAGCCAGCCAACCTCCCAACACGCGAACGCGCCCAGGCTCCCTATTTACCAGCACAGGGACTAATGCCACACAGCTATCCAGAATATGGTGCCCCAGAAATAGACCCAGGCAACAACGACATGTCCGGCACATCACCCAGCGGCGGGCAGTCAAGCCGACCAACGCCGAATTCGAGCACCGCATCCGAGACGCTTTCTAATCTGACGCCTGGGGGGAATACGTTCGAGACGACAAGTCCGCCTACATCGCTGAAGAATCTGATGAATATGCCGGGGACTACAACGCAGGGAGAGATGGGGGCGAATAATGCTGGTTTTAATTTCAACGACCCGCCTTTTGTGTTGGGCTCTGGGGTGTCGGAGTATCCTGTGCCGAGCGGATGGGGAGGGGCGGGGGACATGTCTGTGCAGGCGGGGATGACGCCGGGGACAGAGAGAATGCTGCAGTCGATGATGGCCGGGTCGATAGATGCTATGGATATGGGGTGGGATCCGAATACGTAGGTTGGGTCTTGGTTGCTATCTATTCATGAAAGAGGGTTATAAACTTGGTGTTCTGGAGGCTTCACTGTTGATACACATTACATGTTCAAGTCGATATCACGATATCACTCATGGGGATGGCAGCGATTCCAGCTGGTTGAATATATCTCTCGGCTTTTGATTTGAATATTATGATATATCCCAATTTGTAGACAGACTGTCATGAGAAATTGTAAATCACAAACAATCCTTGATTGATAGAAACGGGCTAGCAGTCCTGTCCATTATTGAGAGCTCTTGAGTTACAATACCTCTGTCGATATCACTCAATGAATGAACCACCATATCAAACTGCTCCCGCGAGCCACGTGTCAAGGCTTGTGTGGCCACTGTCATTAAGGCTGGCAACTCAATCAAGATTCTAGATCATGTTATGCTTGCTGGTGGTTCAGCTGAGGGGAATGCAGTGTCAAGTTGGACAAGCCATCGCAGCTGGCCGTACATAGTTGGTCACAAAAAGGGGTCTAAAAACAAGCCAGCTCAGTTACACTGCCACACACCATCATTACTACCCCGTCCGTCCATAATTAGTAGCATAAAGATAATCCCAAAAAGTGCCCTGAGCCCACAGTATCAACATTTCCCAGAACAAGTACGAAAATAGACACAAAAGCCCAAGCTGAGACCACCACATCCCCTGATTATTCTCCCCTCGCTCACCTAGCCGGCAACTCAATGGTGCCATTCACAACATTGACAACACCGCCACCTCGTTGAAAATGATTAGCGTTCCCTCCCCTGAGGGGATACTGCCCCCCTATCGCCCCCTCCATCACCGCTTCGTTCCCATCCGAGTGTTTCCTCCCCTTCCCAACCCGAAACCGAACCTTGTCCCTCATCACCGCCCACTTATTCCTCACCCCAAAAACCTGGCCCTCCGCAACCGCACCCGGATACCCCCCTCCCAATTCTTCCAGACTTTTTGTCTCTAGTCTCCTCTTCAGCTCCCCGTCTGGGGTGCTGTCATGGACGACCCGCTGCACATCAGGCAGATACGCCCATGAATAGAGCGCTCCCAAGGCCATAAAGGTTGCAAACAGCAAAAAGACAAGCCCTTGTCTCGTTGTGGATTTGTAGCCCGCGTTGATGCCGTACACGATGAGCACCGCGACGATGGAGCCGACCTTTCCTGCTGCGGCTGAAATTCCGTGACTTTTGGACACCATACTGTCAGATTTACCTACCCACTGGGTTGAAAGTGAAGTTGAAGAAAAACTTACCAAGTACACCGATAACACGTCGGGAAAATTTCGGCCGGGATGATAAAGGTAAGTGTATTCGCCCCTAAACCGGTCAGTCTCTCTCTCTCCCCCTCTGTCTCTCTGTCTCTCTGTCTGTCTGCCCCACAAATAGCTAAAAAAAAACATGGACGAAGAAGAAGGGGGACTCACCAAAATTAAACATGAAATGACAAATCGCCACGCACACCACCGTCCCCCAACTCCTCTTCGTGTGCGCCACCCCATAGTACAGTCCCCCCGTCACCAGGAACAACACCGTCAGCACCCCAAAGCTAGCCGTCAACCACTCCCTCCTCGGTATCCTGTTCGCAAACACGACAAAGCACGCGCTCCCCGCTATCGAAGCGAGGGACACAGTTAACAGATACTGCTTCGTCTGCTCGATCAACGTCTCATAGATAGTATTGCACGGCTTTGTGGCGTCCGTCTGCCAGGTGGGCAGCCCGCTCCCGGCAGCCCAGGATGGCACGGCTGACCCGGGTGTGTTCCAACATTCGAGATCAGCGGTGATGCTCACCGCGTCGGTGGTGGCCCAGAGGTCAGACAGCGTGCCGCGGTTGTCGAGCGAGAAGCCATAGAACGAAACGTCGAGGTAGAACCACGCCATGGAGGTTCCCAGGAGGTAGTACCAGTTCTTGTCGCGGATGAAAAAGTTGTAGAGGTCCGACATGGAGAACTGCAGAGAGGTGGCGGGTTCATCGGGCTCTGGCGGACTGGCGGGGAGGGTCAAGGTGCCACCCCCGTTGGCAATTGTCTGAACCGTGTGGCCGTTGGAAGAGGGGAAGCCGTTGCTGTTGTTCTCGTTCCCGGGGGCTCCGTAGACCCGTTGGGTGTCCCTGAAGGCGTTGCCGGGCTTGTTTTTTACTTCGAGGGTGTACAGCCCGCAATCGTACAGAAAGAAGCGGAAGATGATGGCCAAGATGGCGGGGACGGCGCCAGATCCGATAACTATACGCCAGATGCCATCGATTATTCTCTTGCACTCTTCTTCGTTGCGGGTATCGATTCCGCATTGCAGTTCGTGCAGCCTGTGGGCTCTGTTCTCGCCCAACAGGACGAACAATCCCACCAGCTGGGCTAGAGCCTGGCCGACCGGTTGCATGAGAAATACCGACGACAGCATTGTTGCTCTTGAGGAGGTGCTTGACCATTCTGATGTTATCACTGCCGACAAGGGGTATTCGGCACCGATGCCTGGGAACGAGGTTAGAAAGCAGGTGTGGTTCAGGGGGTGTCTGGGGCATCTTACCAATACCCATCACGAACCGCCACTACACACACACTTGCATTAGAGTTATTCAGCTTATCCAGAGCGACGGTTGCTTCAACTTACAAAAGTAAACAAAGCCAGAAACGAAATATCCCCATAACCTGTGCTCGTTGTGGCGACCCCTATAGTCGAGACGATCACGAGCACAAGCTCAATTCCGTACAATCTCGTCCTCCCATATTTATCGGCAAGATAGCCGAACAACAGTTGACCGACCACAGACCTAATTACAAGACATGTAAGCAAACGCGAGCGTGTTATCACACAGTCAAAATCATTTACCCAAGCAGCGTGAAAAAGTTGATGATCAACCCACACCATCTCTCATGAGGAAAGTACACAAACGACAGGGAGGCGAGAATGACATTGGTCGCGAAGAGGTTGTATCTAAATTGCCACAAAAAAATGTTAGAAAAATCGGCGGCGCGTCGTGGGTGAGAGATGAGCGAGTGTAAGACGCACGAATCAGTAAGAAAACCCGAAGCTGCCACCCCCCAGATCCGAAGATTCCACGAGTTCAAATCCAATTCATACCGAAGCTGCTGGCGATCCTGTGTGGGGGGAGAGTTGTTTACAGTTGTCAGCCCATGGTCATGTTCATGGCCCAAAACATACAGGAAAAAGTTCCCACCTGAAGGTCTTGTGGCGGCAGCCCTGAGCTGTCCTCACCCAGATACCCTCTGTTCCTCTTCCGTTCGGGATCGGGATACATACGGCCAGTCATCGGGACAAGTGTGCTCGAGGCTCAAGAACACTTTTTCTCGCCGCTAGTCGCTCATGGTGTTGAGAAAGCGATAAAGATGAGGGACTGGGGCAGCAGACAGCAAGCATCTGTCCATGATAAAAACTGAAGCTTGGCTAACATGGTCGTTTCAAAATCGGGATGGCGTCCCAGGTGTGTCAATTACTACCAGGCTTCTTCTAGCCTCAGACATAAGGGGGTACGTATTCCATCAACCCAGCCCAACCCGGAGGAGTGTGGGTGGTGATTAATTACTAACTGAGCAGGTGGGGAAGGGGAAGCTGAAGTGAACTGAGGCTTGGCCTCTTCCAGACCCCTGGACTCCTTCCGACCCCCAACTACAGCAACTGCAGAGGGAGAAAGGACTCTTCACCCCGCATGCTATGTAGGTGGCTTGACCAGGCTACAGTGTTGTTCAGAGGGATGGCTATCTACAGGTTCGGCGCCCGGTCTGGAAAGCCAGTTCTGCCGGTATTGTCGTTCGGTGTGAGGAAAGAACATGAGAAAGTGAGGTGGTTGATGGCATGTTGGGTGTGACAGCGGCATGTCTTTCGCCAAGCGATTTCGACAAGCGGGATGTGAACTTGGCACACATGAGGGATTGGCCTGCAAACACACCAATGGCATCTCTTAAACAGAGCTCGCAGTGCCCTTCGGAAGCCCCATTGGCTGAGTCAATTCAATGACACTGTGGGGCATCGGACTTCTCAGGATGCATAGCATGATGGTAGAGAACTGGTAGATTTATGGGTATTGTACTGTGTCTCAAGGCTCTACGTAAATTAGTTGACAAAATCAAGTCGCTGTTCAAGTTGCTCTTTCGCACTGTAGCCGTCGACACCTAGCGATAAATTCAGAGTATCGTCGTTACCTGACTTCGAACCTTGCGGCGTTGGTGCCGCGATAGGTATTTCTAGGCGCCAAAAACTGTTGCTGCTGCTGTTGCTGTTGTGGCTGTGTTGTGCTGTGAATCTGGTGTTGCTGTTGTTGCTGAGGTGGGAGTGGGTGCTGATACTGATGGTGAAGCTGGTGATGTGGTTGTGTGTGTTGTTGCCGAGGCTGTTGTTGCGGTCGTTGTTGCAGTTGTGGCAGCGGCTGTTGCTGACTGTTTTGCGGTTGGACAGCTTGCTGTTGAGCATCCCCTTGGAGCTGGAAAGGCGAGTCTTGTCGAAGAGGCGACACACCCATAGAACCAGACTCGCTGCTTGACTTGTCATCGGTTGCGGTGAAGGGGCCAACACTCTGTTCATGCGCCTGTTCTTGACGTTGCTCATCGGCCTGCGTTTGCTGTTGAATCTCAGACGCGATGGAACGCCCCTCAGCTTCTCGCTCCTTCCTCGATTTGATGCGAGCACACCGGCCTATTCTTCTCATGGTCCCATAGGCCTTTTTGAGCTTTCTGCTGATGGTCGGGAGACTGACTTCGAGGCCAGTTGTTGTCTTCAGATACAACTGCATGTCATCAAGAAGGGCATCTGGATGGTCTTTGTGCCAAGCCAACAGCTTCTAGAATTGCCTGTTAGGAACGATGGTGGAGACAATCAGGCATGGGACTGTTCATCATACCTCGAGGTGGTGCTCCTTGAACTTCTCAGCATTTTTGCTGACATCCTTGTGTTTGGCCAACTGGCCAGTTTGGATATATTCAGCTCGACGACGACGCACCGTCCGCTCATCCACACCCATCACCCACGCGATCTCATGGTTGGTGAGTTTGGATATCTGGAGGAGCTTGGTAAGGATGGCTCGATGGTCATCGCTGTTGACAGACACGTCAGCAACTCCAAACGAGAAGTCACGCGATATCAGAGTTTGTAGGGGCACAGGGGAAGAGAAAGGAAGTCCAGGTAAAGTGCGGTCCTACGAGATTCTTTTGCCAGTCATTGCGATGAAACAACGGGGGATGGGGCTACTGTTTGATGTCTTTTTCAAATGGGTTGCCGATTGAATGTCGTTATGGCCCCAGGCTCAACTCCAGCAAAAAACTGAGTGGGCACCGGTCCTGCACCCCGGGCGTTAAACGGTCTTGGCTCTCTATGCAGGTATGTACAGAGGGTTAGGGTTGTGCTCCGACAGCCCTCTGGTTTCAACCTTTGGTCCCTTGCAGCTCTCTTGATGAATCCCAGGTGGATCATCACAACACACTATCAACCTCGTGTATAAGAAGTAGCAAGGGTACTCGATGGCAGCTGACTATGTAAAGTCTGGCCTCTGTTGTTCCGGCGTGGGGGGTTGAGTTGCCATGAAGACATTCTTTTGTTTCCATCTGACTGATGCTAAATGATGCTCGTAGCCAAGGCCATCCAACGCACTTCATGCATCTTGCATATTTTAGCCACATGTTGCATCGAACAAATCCCAGGCCCGTCTGCGAGCTCGTGGGCTGGCCCCTTGCGACCACTGCTCAGCATTCTGCCGCTATCGTCCCCCAGCCCAATCAGCTTCACCCCCACCAGCAAGCAGCACTGGCAAACCCCCCCTCATTAGTTACGGATTACCTACAAGGTGGCAGGATGGCCGGTGATATGCATGGACAGTCCCAGCCGCCGGCCTGGTTCCTGAAGCTTGAAGAACACAAGCACCGCCTAACCCCAAGTCCCCATCTTAACACTACCTACCGATAGCTCAGACGAGGTCTCAGCCGGAATCACACCCTTCCTGTCGTACACACTTCCGCGACACTCTATCCCAGGCTCCCAGGCGTTACGAGACGACAGCCTCTTACGACATCGCCGTTGATATCAACCGCCGGATGGGCCCAGGTGGAGACTCATGTACATGCAGACTGAGACAGGCCTGATCCTTTATCATCTCCAAATTCGCTGACCGAGAGACACAACCTCCCATTCGGCTCCTCAACCCGAAACTGAGAACCGGAAAACCCATCCTTGAAGCTTGTCCCCCGATCTCTGGGCATTTGTAAACCGCCCTCACGTGAGGAGACGCTTGGTTGCTCTTTGTGCAGGAAAAGCATCAATCCTGGAACAGGCGCGTCCCCTACAATGGCAGGTGCCTCGGGCTCCTCCTCCTCCTTCAACTCGTCCGCCTTTGCTGGCGTTCCTCCATCCTCCCATGGCCAGCACTCCAGCCCGCTCTACTCGACCTTCACACCCACTTCCGCTGCCATCTCTGCCCTGACGGCAGAGTCGTCGTTAGCACAGAGTCCACTAGGGTCTCTAGACCTCGGGCCCCCTGGATATCACGCCACAATGTATACCAGCCACCATCACTATCTCTCCCCCCTCTGACTGTACCACCGTCCACTTACCCCTTTTCGACCCCCCAATACCACACCCATTCTATATCGTCACAAGCAAAGCTCCGTTTCTAACCACCATCTCCTTCCCCTTCTTCCCCCCTTCTAGAAAACTCTTCGAACGCACCCCAAACGAAACAACAATCTACCTCGGCCCTTGGGAAGTCCTCGGCCCTTCCCCCCGCCGCATAGTCTGGCAGTGCTCCTACGAAGGCGACACACTAGAACACTACCTCCCCTCCGACACGCCCTCCTCCCCACACTCGCACCCATACACCCTCCACTCCCACCACCGGCGCTACTCCTCCCCCCACGAGCTCGAGCTCTTCGTCTCCTTCCCCCTCGAGCCCCACCGCATCCGCTACATCTCCCACACAGACGGCCTCACCTGCGATGACTTTATCGAGGTCAAGTACGAGTTCACCACCTTGGAGTCCTCCCTCAATTTCCAGTCCGATCTTCGCCAGAGAGACCTAGTGGACTGGTTCGACGTCGACGTCGTCTGGTCCGACGTCCACCGCAGGACTGATTCCTACGGCAACGTCCGTGGGCTGGGAACGATTCAAAGGATGAAGCTCTGGAGGGACAGGCATTCGAGCTTTCACTATCTAAGCGTGTATGCTAACCACAGGAGGAGATGGAAGGAGTACCTGGTTGACAACTTTGAAAGGGAGTTTCGGCAACGGGATGATCGGCATAGACGGTTACAGCTCACAGCCAAAGCCGCGGGGAGTGGGGGGCAAGGGCGGAGGGGGAGCTCGGCTTCGGGAAGTAGTGGTGAGCGACAACCGCCGCAACAGCAACCTCCTGCTCGCCGATTCTCGGCTGCGTCCTTGTTTCTGGGGTCTAGTAGGCGAGGGGGGAGCAGCAGCAACAGCAGCAGTTCTTCCCAGCAGGCTAACGGTGGTGCGGCTTCCACAGCGTCGCAGAACGATCCGGACATTCGATATCTCGGGATTCAGTTTTCGAGAAATGGTAATGTACAGCCGGGGACTGAAGGTAAATAGATATCTGCATTCATGCAGGGCGTTGGGTGTGACTGAAAAAAGGAGCAGTTGCTGACCAGATGTCTTCTTGTCAAGACTACAACAGGTTCATCGTACGGTGGGAGGCGGCCCACGATGCTGATAGCCAGTTTGAGACACCATACCCGACAGAGCCTGTCGAGCTGCAATCACCATACATAAACGGTCAAGAGGTGCCTAGGGAGTTTACGTTACCCTATGTTAACGGGGTACACGGGATAGCAGAACTTCCTTCACCTGAGCTGCTGGGGCTTCCCCCAGTAGCGGAATCGGTTGATGAACGTGAATTTGACGGAACACAGTAGTGTCATGGATGGTTGAAGTTTTAAAAAGCGTTGAAGATACCCTTTGAGCATCAGCAGTTTTTTGTTTTGCTACCGAGACAAATTGGAGAAGCTGAATCTTGAATAAAAGATGATGGCGCCCAGACAAGCCAAGCCGGGAGGGAGCGAAGCAGGGGTATCTCGGTTTAGGACGAACTCCGGGGCCGAGACCGTTCGGACGGCCCCACTTATGCCTGTCACGCCAAGCGGCCGGTGACAGCCCCCCACACAAACAGCCAAGTCCCGCAGACGTCATCCACGTTGTGAACCGTTGCGGTGCCTGCCAGCCCACCGCCTTGGTGTTGGGTGGACTCACCTGATATCAGACTGCCTGATTCCCGGCGACGTCCATCAATGAGAACACTTGATATATTCCTTCCAATAACATTCAGCCGTCCTTTTCCAGAGTGGCATGACACCTTCAAGCCCTTGTCTTTTGCCGTATAAATCGCACTCGTCCTTGTTGCACTTGCTTTTGTTCTCGAAGCCAGTTCTGAAATTGTATGTGTTTTCTGCCTTTTTTGACGCAATTACTGCAGCAAGTTACCGCGGAACTTGTACCATACAGTCAGCTATTTCATTAGAAACACAACAATGAAGAAGAAGATCGCCTTGTCAGTCAACGCCGGATCCTCCTCGGTGAAGGTCTCGGTGTATGATGTAGAGTTTGGTCAGGCACCAGTCCAGCTCGCAGAAGCTCAGATCAGTGGTTTGACATCACCACCCCCCACCCTCAAGTATGTCCGAGATGGGAAGACGGTCATCAAGGCCAAGGAGGTGGACGATAACATAGAGGGCCAGCGCGATGCCTTCTCCCTTCTGTTGGAAACTTTGGTCGAAGATGAGGACCTCCCGCAGATCAAGAGCAAGGAAGACATTGGCATCGTCTGCCATCGAATCGTCCATGGCGGCGACTACAGCAAGCCGCAACTGATATCCAATGAAACCTACGAACACCTCGAGAACCTGAACGACTTGGCTCCTCTTCACAATGCAAACAGTCTGGGTATTGTCCAGCTTTGCATCCGTGCCTTGCCAACGGCAAACAACGTGGCCTGCTTCGACAGTCAGTTCCATTCAACCATCCCAGAGCACATTCGCACTTACCCCATCAACCGTGACATTGCTCGAAGCAATAAACTGCGGAAATACGGATTCCACGGCATAAGCTACGCCTTCATCACACGCTCAGCCGCCGAGTTTCTGGGAAAGGAGCCCGACGAGGTAAACATCATCGCCCTCCACCTCGGATCCGGAGCCAGCGCCTGTGCCATCAAAAACGGCAAAAGCTGGGACACCAGCATGGGGCTGACCCCCCTCGCCGGCCTCCCAGGCGCCACACGTAGCGGAAGTGTTGATCCCAGGTGAGCCCTTTACTTTCTTTTTCCCATTGATGCCACGAAACGGCCCACACACCACCACCCCCAACCCATCACTAACTCTCCCCCCCTCTCTTTCCCCACGGAACAGCCTAGTATTCCACTACGCCTCCGACGTAGGCAAACTCTCCCCCGCCTCAACCTCAGACCTCCACATCTCCCGCGCCGAAGAAATCCTCAACAAAGAATCCGGCTGGAAAGCCCTCACCGGCACAACAGACTTTGGCAAAATCACCTCCTCGGCCTTTTCCTCCTCCTCCTCCTCCTCCTCCTCCTCCTCCGACGACGACGACGACGACCACGAAGTGATGAAGCTAGCCTTTGACCTCTTTGTGGACCGCATTTGCGGCTTCATCGGCTCGTACTACGTCTCCCTCCGCGGCAAAGTCGACGCTCTAGTCTTTGCCGGCGGCATAGGCGAGAAGAGCCCCCAGCTTCGAGCCGCGGTCGTGGACCAGATCAGTTGCTTGGGGTTTCAGATTGACGACGAGGTCAACAACAAGAACGAAATCAGGAATGTGGTGGAGGAAGTGGGTAAAAAGGGGGGGTTGGACGAGCCGAGGGTGTTGGTTGTGCAGACGGATGAGCAGTTTGAGATGGCGAGGGCGTGTGCAGAGGATGCGGAGTTTTGGTAAAGGAAAAAGATAAAATGATGATGATATGGCGTGATGATAAATGAGGGGAAGGGTAAATCCGGGGTTGGTTCTTTTTTGTTGAGAGCGGGCAGTTTGGTAGTCTGGGCTGTTTTAAAGTTTTTCTTTTTAGATACCTAGGCAGAAAACCTTATTTTTATTCCTTCTCAGTCACAAGTCGCACATGCTTCGAGACCTACCTTACCCCGTTCTGCCAACCCCTTCTGTCAGATGTCTGGCTTGAGACCAGTGTCTGACCTGAGCGTACTGCTGTCAAAGTTGACGCCCCAGGGCTTCACAACGTCGCACATGATCTTCTGGGTTATTCCCTGCCTTGGGCATCTTTGATTCAGGGTAGACGTGGGAAATCCCCGACCGGCATGCATCCTTGTCACACACAGGGAATAGCAGTAATAAACTCAGAGAAATGGTCAAAATGGGGTCAACTGCTTTCATTGCCCGGCATCTCTGCCGCAGTGGATGTGCGCAGAATACTAAATACTAACAATTCACTCCTCGCTGTCTTTTCATGTCCTCTTGTCCTCAATGACTTTGACATCCGGCTCAAAGGGTATGTATACCTATAGGTACAACCAAGTCCTTTTGCTGAAAAAAAAAACCCATGGTGAGCCATAGATATCTCATCAAAATAGCCACCCAAAAGACCCAAAAAAAACCAAAAACCCAAAAAAAAAAACCCTGGACGCCTCCCATATATGCTGTTCCCCCATGGCCCGTGTTTCCACAAATCCCAAGGTGCTGCTCATGTGCGTGCGACCTCTATAATGTTTCCCCGTGTATCCGGCCAGAGAAAGAAAAAAAGACAAAATACCACCACCCCAGTATTGGTATGTTTGCGCCAAGTAAAAATATCAAGAATCAGAAGACAGGAATAAACAGCTCAGCTCAGCGCTACAAGTGCCAGCGAGCCGAGAGAATCAAATAACAATGGCCGATCATGGCCAGAAGAAAGCCTCATACTTCTTGTTGGCATGCTACTGCCATAGCCAAAGCATCGAGGCCGGCTGTGGGTGTGCGTGCAATAGTGGGCCGTCCGAGAAGGGGACCGCTGAGGTCCCTCAGGTCCCACACACCCCCGGGAGAAGGTAATGGGGTGTTGTTGCTGAGTGGCACAGTAGTGCTCGACTTGGAACGGCTCGAAGACTTCCCCGACGAAGAACCTCTTCTGTCGCTGGAAGAGAGCGAAGGGCGAGACCCCGAGGACCGAGCCTTGTCCTTGTAGTGAGTCTCGAGATGCTGCTTCATGTTGTCGGCGCGAGTGAACTTCTTGGTGCAGCCAGCAAACGAGCATGGCACGGCCTTCTCAGCCGTGTGAATCTTTGAGTGCCGCGACGCATGACCAGATGTGGTGAAGGTCTTCTCGCAGCCGTGGCTGTCGCGGTAGCGGCAAGGAAAGCGCTTCCCTGGGCGTTCCGTGCTTGTAGTGTGTGCCGTCATGTCTTCCTCGTACGAGACGGCCCGGGCATCGAGAACGGTGGGGCGTTTGGAAGCGGCATAAATTTGATCAGAGTAGTAGTCGTCGTACTGGTGAACGTAAGGGTCCACGGCGGCGCCGACATATCGTGGGTCGTTGAGAGGAGTCATGGGAGACATGGGCTCGCTGCCCATTTGAGAGTCATACGAGTCTGATCGCAGCAGTTCAGGTGTGTTCGGTGATGAGGAGATGCTCCGGGGACCGTGTGCGTAATAGGCAGCATAGCTGGGGTCTATCTGGTGTTGTGGGTAGTGATGTTGAGGAGCGGCTGTGTCGTCGTCGTTGAGCAGAGAGACTCGGCGCCCGGAGGCATCGCGCACATGCATGGTCATGGTGACTGTGTGGTGGTATTTGTTGGAGAAAAGATGTAAAGCCGGGAAAGGGCCAATTGATGGGGAAATAAAATGGGTTTGTAAAAATCCTTCAAAACGTGGCTTGGTAATCCCGGGGTAGGTGCTGCACTAAACCGCTGTTACCACGGCTATGAAGCTTTCGAAGTGGTGTTGGTGGTGGTGGTGGAAGAGACGGTAGTCTGGTGTGGAGGGAGACCCCGAATAATTAGACTTTGGAGAAGAGACCGGTTCGTGATGATGGTAGACTTTTGGACCCTAAGCTCACAAAGAGAGGCGGCTCAAAGAGAGGGGGAAAGGTGAGCTTATTATGGGAGTCGAGGCGGATGGCTTTCTTGCCTGTTTCCCATGCTCTCCCTGCACTTTTGGAAATCGGTGGTGCAGTGCCCACACCTCGGGGCGCGCATAGAGTGGGAATCCCTACCCTGCAGCAGGGGCAAGTGGGGTACCAAGCCAGGTCCCCTGTTGCCCTCCAGGCAAGTACCTCTCATGTATATTCCGATTTGTTTAGATTTGCTCGATTCCGCCCTCCCTCCAGCTCCAAGGCGGCGGAATTGGCAACGGCTCGACGACCCTGGACTGGCAGAAGAGTCGCGTAGCCGAATGCCCACACTTCTCCTCTGCCCACACGCTTGCCCAGCACGCACGCACCGCACCAAATGGAAGCCGCGGGAGCTCGCAATGCTTTGCCGGGATCCAGCTATTAACTGGGTGGACTCAATGACGAAATAGAGTCTTGCTTCCCCCTGGAACCGTTTTCAATCTCTAGAAACACACAGACGGGCCCTGGCCCTGTCTGGCCCTGTCGCCCTCCGCTGTCTGATCAAGTCAGATAACGGACGCCCACCAACCCACCAACCTCCTCCCTCACACACCCTGAGCTGTGCCTGTCCGTGTTGTTGCTGCTGCCCATCATGCCCATGACGAGTTTCTGTGTTCACTGCACTGGGCCTGCGCCATCTGTGGTCGTGCAAAGCAGCAATTGCGTCGACATGTGTGACACCACCTGAACGTAGGAATTGCAGGTGAGCCCGGCCGTTGAAATGCGAGGATCATCGAGCGAGAGGGTCCCTGGATTCCCTGGTGGTACAGCCCGGGCGCATTCCTCTCTGGAGACAGGTCGATCAGGGACGCGAGGAAATCCCACCTCCCAGTGACGGGCTGCGGGAGTGCTCCAGGCAATCTGATTGGGCCCCGGTGCGCGGGCAGAGCTTCATGGGGTTTCTTCAAAAAAAAACTTGTGCAGCTGCATCCAAGATTGACAAGATACAGCTCGGCAAAGAATGCCGGCAGCATAGCACCCATCGAGATGTCAACAAAACCCCTATTCTGTGTTTATACTCTATGCGAGGGCACGCGACCGCCGTTGCTATCGCTTCTTTGTTGACCATCATCAAGACTAGTTGGCCGTGTCGGAGCTTTCTTCCGCCAGCATCAACCATGGTACCTGTCCCATTTTTGACGAGCTGCCAAATTCCCGTACGGTGGCTGTCTCAAAGAGCCTACATGACGTCAGGGCGGCAGGGGTTTGATAACAGCTCCCCCACACAATAAGGAACCTCTCCTGTGGTTGTAGTCCTTAGCTCCCTCTAGTCCTCCTCAGCAGCTGCGTGGACGGGACCTCACACGAGGAGGGGAGCTTCTTGTGTCAGCTAACCCTCCTCTGCTCGAACAGGGTGAACCCGTGTAAACCCGCCGCCTCCGTACTACGTTCCATGCAGCCTTCTCCGCGAATTCGGTCAACAGGGTCGATGTTTGCAGGGTTGTCGTGTTCCAGGGACGACGATGAGCGTTACAGCATGCTCGATTCATCAATCGTGTAGCTGGAATAGTACTGTAACAGCTGTGAGGTCGCCAGCCCCATATGCATGAAGGGACACTCGGGTGCGTCCGTTGTCTCTGACCTTGTCGAGACACTCCGAGGCTATCGTACGGGTCTGATATGTCGACCATGACCATGTATCGAGGGTCCAACTTGGTGGTATGTATGCCGATGCCCGTTCCCTATGGGGTTGTTGACAATCCGCATCCCTCGATATGGTAAATGCTTTCTCTGTGCTACCAGAACCTACCACAGACACCAATGATTGTCGTGATTGTCGAGCAACAACAGGTTTGTTCTGCGAACTCCCGAGCATCCGTGGGGTCGTAACAGGCGATGTCTGCGGGCTCACACGCACACGGCCACACGACCATAGAAGTTGATCATAGGCAGTGGCTAATACCACAAAACTTGGGCTGCGGTGTTTTGCAGCGCTCCATTTGTCTCCATGTGCATGACAGCGCAGCTTCCTTGACAGCCACCTCGCACAGAATCATCATAGTCAAGGAACCAATGATCGGAGGTCCCCCGATCATCGTATTCTGATCAGGATTGCTGTGGGGAAAGAAGACTTCGCTTCCTGTCAAGCAGCCAAACAAGAACGCCCAAATCGCCCAAGTACCGCTAGTCCACGTGCAATTGGGGGTGTGTCTATCTACAGCACTACAAACTTCCAAGTCTGATGATTTCACGGATCCAAGACCTTGGATCTGATCGTGTCAACAAGAGTGATTGCAATACGAAGCAGTTTAGTATGAGTATGCTCATATACTCGAAGCTGTGTATACCAAGTAGGTAAACAGACTACCTTACCTAACAAATACTTTCCAGGGGAGTATGCATCTGTCAAGCAGAACAGCCCCCAAACGAGAGGACCCCTGGACCCTGGAAACAAAGCGGTCCCGTTTTCCTTGATGCTGCAAGAAATCTTTTGAGAACTGCTATCCAAACTTGGCAGATACTCTCGATAACAAGCGAACAAAGAGAGGATCAAAAGGTCCGGTGGGTGGAAAGCCACAAGCCGGTTGGGGCAGTTCGGGCGCTGCCAGGGGCCAGCCGCGTGCGGGACGCGGGAGGCTCGGGTCAGAACTTGGAATTGGCAGCTCTGAGATCGTCGTCGACCGTTTTGGCTTTGCGCTTCGCTGTGGCAGGCAGGCGGGTGGTCGACAGCAAGGTCCGACGACAGGATGGCAGCGGATGGTTAGGGGTCACGCTTGATTTCAGGGCCCTTGCTTCAGATTTCCTTGGAACGAAAATGTCCCAGCTGCACCGAAGAAATGGCAGAAACCAGTCATCGAGTTGAAGGGTCTTCCATCGGACCCAATGCGCTCCCATGGGGATCGTGAATTGCGTGGGTGAATCGGGCCCACCTGACGATCCCCTGTACAAAGCAGTATCCTCGAGTGACAGCCAGGGCAGACCCTTTTCGGAAGACGTTAGCGTTGTTCAGGGTCGCAACAGAAAATAATGACGACAATCGAACGACATCGGCAGCCATCAAAAGTCCAGGGACCTTCTCCGTGAGGGGTACTCCCCCGATGTACCCCTGATGTACACCCAGCACCAGTCAGCAGCCAGCATGTCCGGACTATTCCCTCCGGACCGTTCCCCTCACTGAAGGCCCGAGCTTTCTTCGGGCTGCTTCGAGCTCCGAACCTTTCATAATCGGCCATGCTCACCTTGCCGATGAACCCACCAAGCTTGATGAACTTTGTACTGAGGAAAAGCAGATCAACCATCCATCTCATCTCACCTTGACAGCATCACGGACAACAAAACGCCTCACTCACCAACATGTGTCAACCTGAAATATTCGCCGAAATGAAGTTGCACGAGCGATGGTCGCATGTGCCCGCTGCCATCGGAATCAAGCGCTGAAATACCCAGCAGAGGTCTCTCTCTGTCTCTCTGGACACCATCCCTGCGATCCAGCGCAACGCCCAAACCATCCAGCAGGTGAGCAACCTAGCAGCATGGCAAGTTGACCAGGAACAGCCCATTGATTTCAGCTGCAGATACCTCATAACTCCTTCGTAATAATGGTTGCGTCCAACCCCGCCTTTGGCAAAAGCATCATCTCGCTCGTTCTGAGCGCTCACGCAAACGGCCTGCATGGACACTACCACAGCTCGAGCAGCCCATGGCTGCAGTATTGGTGTAGGGGTCTGTCTAATCGCAACTCGACGCAAATGCACGGATGAGACGATGAACGCAGAAACCCAAAACGTCAATCCTTCATACATCGACAGACACACCGGCCTTGTCTGGGGATCGCCATTGTCACATACCCGGTTTAGTCATCACAAAAAAACACCCCATCCGTAAGACTGATCGGAAAATGAGAATTCGATCGAGGGGAAAAAAACGGCCACTTCACACACGCGGGCCAACAACCGGTGTAGGACCGAACTTTGGGGGTCGCATGGGAATTCAGAGAAATTCACGCTCATGGTGTTCCGTGATCAAATCCCATGGTCATCTCTTCCCAGTAGAACGCTAAGGATTTGCTAACCAATTACCGCATCGCAGACTCTGCAGGCATCAAGATATTGGGTAAGACGCGCACGCCTTTCCTTCTTTTTTTCTCTTTACCATCCACACACCCACCTACTTTGATACTCTCACTCACTCGCACACACACACGCGCGCACACACACTTTTCGCTGAAATGAGTCGATGGAAACATGGAGCATGGTTGCCCCGAGCCTGGTGATTCGACAGGCCTTGCCATGGCGGCTATGGGGTGACATCTCCAAATCTCCAAATCTGGGCAAAGATAGGCAGAGATAACGGGGCCTCTTCCTGGGTGGTGTCGCCCCAGGAGCCTTGCAATTGGGCAAGGTCATTTTTGAGAGGAGCGCACAGCAGCAGACGATGATTTCTTCCCAAAACCAGGACTTGTCTGGTACCTGCCCAGCAATCGAGTCCTATTTGCCTTTGAGCATCTGTGGATAGCAAATTGCGTACACACACCGGCCCAGCCTGGGCAGCATGTGGTGAAACATGGCATTTGGCTTAGAATGCACTTTGCAAGAATCGGTTTCTGTAAGAATCCCATCACACTTTGACAAAGGTTGACAAGGGAGGGGCAGGACCCTTGCGGGGTTCAGGGTCAAATTGCCCCTCCTCTTTTTTGGGTCAATTAAATCATTTCCTGTCCCAAGCTCCTCCCCTCTCATTTTTTTGTTGTGATGATGATGATGATGATGATGTGGTGTTGTGTTGTTGGTGATGATGATGTTGTGCTCACTTGCACACATACCTATTTTGTGGGGAATTCTGTCGGAAATAATAAGTTTGCATCATCAGAAACACATCAGTATTTGATCAAAAACTTACGATTCGTAACATGCACGTATACGAAACCCAAAAAGCAGACAGGTCCGTCTCGGTTTCTCCTTTTTTTTTGACGTGCATGAGAGGGGTTTTGTTTGAATGGCGACGTGCAGGAAGGCTTAGTTAGGTATGACAGGAGGGAGGAACTTGCTTTTGCGTTTTTCTGGTGTGTGACGAGAGAGAGTTTATTGACCCGGTCCCCTTGAGGAGGAGAGGAGACAGGATGAACCTAGGTGGGTACGGTGAAACATGGTGCAAGTAAAGTAGAATGCAAGATTGTTACACATACGATGGCGCGCAAGGTTCTGTCAACGGACGGGGAAAAAGCTGATCGATGATGTGGGCTAGGTGTGATAACCGCATCGAGGGAGGTTGTTTGTATCAGGGAGTTTTTTTACCAAGGAAGATGGAGGACGGAGGATGGAGGATGTGAACCCTTCCTGATCGAGGTTTTGTTGCACAGGTTTTGATCATCAGGTGCGGTTCTGCAGAGCTGATGATGATGCTGATGATGCTGATGATGATGATGATGATCAGGTGTAGGAGACATGATGGTGGCGATCAGAGTTTTTTAATGGCAGGTTTGAGGATCTCTGTTGGGATATGATATATCTTTCTCGGTCTGCTATATTTTGAGAAGTAACGAGTCCTCTTTGTACAAGTAGATATTAAGCAAGTCAAATATAGCTGGGGAAATTCATCAAGTAATACTCCTTAGCATCAACAACCCCCCGAAATGAGCGTGATAGTTGTAAAGAAAAAAGTGTTCTATCTATCCTCTCCTCGATGTTACTATGTCCCCTATTCTCCACCCATTCTTGTGGCAACATCATGGTTATTTGAGCCTAGTTGACAGCAACTGAGATGACACCTAGTTTGCAAACCTCTTCCGTGCCTCGAACATTGAAGAGATCTAGATGGCTCCAAGGTTACTCATAACGGATGCGTCCATACCTCCCAGTCTGCTTCAAACACTACAGGTGTCGGCCTAGCTACCCGACTTTGAATCGTGAGCGTTGCAATGACTGAAGCCATTTAAAGAGTAAAATGATTCAAAACGCAAGCGTAGTTGACCTCTTTTCCCAAAGTGCACTCCCCAGTTGAAACGTTACTTGACCATAAATTACATCACAAAAACCACCAAGTCTGTTGTTGTACACATACACTAATCCAAGTACTAAATACTGATTGCTCCAACTCCTCTATTCGCCCCTTCCCTCTTCACCAGCTCAACACAGTCCAACACACCAACCACCCTCACAAACCCAAATCAAGACTTTGTAGACCCCGTATCAACCCTCTTAGCAGGCGGCAACGCAGGCTTCTTAAAAACACCACTCCCACCCCCTCCACCCCCACTCCCCCCACCAATCTGCGTAAACGTCCCCCCCTTAAACCACCTATCCTCCTCCTCCGCCTTCCTCTTCCTGCTCTCCGCCATCGCCTTCGGGTCAACAAGCTCCAACCCTTGCATAGGCGTAAACGCAAGCGACGAAACCGTCCCCGCCGTCGCGCCACCCCCCAAACTCGTCCCAACGCCCGAGGTCCGCAGCCCTTTGCTCGCCAGACTGATATTCCCCGCCCCGCCACCAGTCAAACTCCTGAGCGAGGACGACGCACCCCCAATCGAAGTCGTCCCTCCCCACCCTTTGCTCCTCGCGCTGAGCTTTGCCCTCGTGCGCTGGTCAATCTGAGCGACCCGGAGACGTCCGTCGTCTCGCTGACCAATCATACCCAAGCCTTTGGTGCTGTCTCCTACGCCGTAGCCAACTTCTTTTTCTTCCTTGCCAAAGGCGACGCGGTTTTGGGCCTTGCGTAGCTCTGTCATGGCGGTCGCCTCCTTTGCTTTGCGGGCGCGGCGACCACCGCGTTTCCTGCTGGGCTTGTCGTCTGGTGCTGGGAGGGCACGGGCGCCTTTAGCATTGGGCTTGGCTTGGAGTTTGTCCAGACGGTCGAGGCACTCGTCTCGGAGACGCTCGCCTTCGGAGCCGTCGCGGAACTGGTGGAAGCAGTCGGTACGGGCGCACATGACGATCTTGTTGGCAAACATCTTCATGGCTTGTTTCTTGAGGTCGCTGGGAACCTCGCGGATGATGGGTGCCTGGAAGATGAAGCCTTGCTGGCGGATGCCCACGTTCGTGGCAAGGGCCGAGCTGTTTTGTTTCTTGGAACCCCAGGCTGGTAAGTTGCAGGCTGGGGCTTTCGAGAGACCGGTGAGACCACCCGCTTGGTTGAGAAGTTGTGCGGCAGTAAGAGAGCCGATGAGAGCTGTCAAGTTTGGCGCGAAGATGTTCATGCGTGATTGCACGTACTGGGTCAGCGTCTTCTTGGCTTCATCGAGCGAGATGACCATCTCGCAGGCCTGCACAACTCGTTGTAACTCTTCTTCAGGCATCGCCTGTCCCTTGGATGTAGTCGCCTCCACTGTGACAATCATCAGTGAGGGCCCGTCGAGAACCTTCTTGAGGGAGACCCCTAAAATGTTGTTCGTTGACTCTAGAAGCCCCTTGATACTATCCGAGTCCATCGGCCCATTTCCAAGGCAAGCAACCACCTTTGCGTATTCCAACGGGTTGGTGATGAGCGTCTCGAGCTCTGGAAACCGGACCGAGTAGTGGTCCCTGATGAACTTGTGTACCAGCGCGATCTCATTGTCGATCTGAGTTGATAGGCTGTTTGACTGGGTCAACAGGTGGTACTCGGGATGGTCTTCGACATTTCCCACGCTGTCGACCGACTGTGCTGGCTGCTTTTCGTAATGTGCGATTTTCTGCAACGTTCGAGACAAACTGTCAGGGCTATTGTTCCAAGATAGAGATGTAAACATTTTCCACTGTTGGGGCACAAGCGGGTATTGGTACTACTAACCTCGAGAACAGGCTTCAACGTCTGCATGAGACCTGCGACAGTGCGAACGTCACGGACAGCGCCCAGGTTCATCTTTTCGATCTTGGCCTTGGCTTCGGCTTCATCTTCAGCGGCTGCGGCAGCTTCTTCATCGATCATGTCTGCGTCCTCATTCCCATCGCCCTCGTCGCGTGCTTCTACCATGTCTGTATCGACCTGCGCGCCATTCGCGAGTCCTTCGTCTGTGAAGAAGTCGTCATCGTTGCCCTGTTCCTCGCCAACGTCGTCCCCGAAATCATCGAGGAGTTCGTCCGCGTAGCTGGACATTGTTTTGATGCGCGCGTGGATAACTTGGTCTGGATTGTTGCGTGCTGTCGAGAAAATGTCGATGGCAAAGTGAATTACAAAGAAAAGGAAGGCTGTTGAACTTATACTGCAAGCCTGTCGCCGGAGTCGGTTTGGGAGGCGCGGCTTGGTCAAGGCTTAAAAAAGTGCCCCACATCGCCGTGCGACATGGGCAAGGAATTGTAGCGTAAACAGTTCTTGAACTTCCCGTCCTCACCGTCCATCATCCCCCCCCCCCCCCCTCCAAACATCCCACAAACACCCCCCGTCGCCTCTCGAACGGAGAATCGCATCAATCGAGAAACCTCATCAAGATGGAGACATCACGTGGCCCACCAAGGGTCAAGAACAAGGCCGCCGCGCCTGTGCAGATTTCCGCCGAGCAGTTGCTTCGCGAGGCCGTCGATAGGCAAGAGGTCGCCCTCCAGAAGCCAACACAGCGCTTTGAGGATCTCGAAGAGTTGAAGGAGTACCAAGGTCGGAAACGTCGCGAGTATGAAGATTACGTTCGCCGAAACCGCGTTCGATTAGCAAACTGGCTTCAGTATGCCCAGTGGGAGCTCGAGCAGAAAGAGCTTGCGCGCGCCCGGTCTGTCTTTGAGCGCGCCCTCGATGTCCACCCCAACAACACTCAGCTTTGGATTCGATACATCGAGGCCGAGATAAAGAGCCGTAATATCAACCATGCGCGCAACCTCCTCGACCGCGCCGTCACCCGGCTGCCTCGCGTGTCGTCTCTGTGGTACAAGTATCTTTATGTCATGGAGATGCTGGGCGATATCCCCGGAACCCGTCAGGTATTCGATCGGTGGATGCAATGGCACCCAGATGAGAACGCGTGGGCGGCCTACATCCGTCTGGAGAAGCGATATGGCGAATATGACAGGGCGAGGGAGATTTTTCGCGCCTTCACCGCGGTGCACCCAGAACCGAGGACATGGCTGAAATGGGCCAAATTTGAGGAGGAACACGGAACGACCGATCTGGTGCGCGAAGTCTTTCAGACGGCAATACAGACCATTGCTGAGCTGCTGGGCGATGATGCGGTTGACGAAAAGATATTCATTGCTTTTGCCAGATACGAGGCACGCTTGGGCGAATATGAACGGGCGCGGGCTATCTACAGATTCGGTCTTGACAACCTTTCAAGGTCCAAATCCATGATTCTTCATGCTCAGTACACCACTTTCGAAAAGCAGTTTGGTGACCGAGAGGGAGTGGAGGACGTCATCATCACAAAGAGGAGGAGGCTTTATGAGGAGCAAGTGAAGGAGAACCCCAAGAACTACGATGTCTGGTTTGACTTTGCAAGGTTGGAAGAGAGCGGAGGCAATGCAGACCGTGTCCGTGAGGTTTACGAAAGGGCAATTGCTCAAGTGCCTCCCACTCAGGAGAAGCGCCACTGGAGGCGATACATCTTTCTGTTCCTCTTCTACGCGATATGGGAGGAGAGGGAAGCCAAGGATATCGAACGTGCCCGGCAAATTTACGACACCTGTCTAGGATTGATCCCCCACAAGAAGTTCACCTTTGCCAAAATCTGGGTGGCCAAAGCTCACTTTGAGATCCGGCAGGGACAGCTTACCACTGCCCGAAAGACCCTGGGACGGGCCATTGGGATGTGTCCCAAGGACAAGCTCTTCAAAGAATACATCCTCCTCGAGCAAAAGCTGTACGAGTTCGAGAGGTGCCGGACCCTGTATGAGAAGCATGTCATGTACAATCCCGCCAACTGCCAAACATGGATCAAGTGGGCCGAGATTGAACGTGGCCTTGACGACCTGGAACGGACCCGCGCCATCTTCGAGCTCGCCATCAGTCAGCCAGTCCTGGACATGCCGGAAGTGGTGTGGAAAGCCTACATTGATTTCGAGGAAGAAGAGGGCGAGTACGAGAGGACTCGCGAGCTGTACGAGCGCCTCCTTGCCAAGGCCGACCACCCCAAGGTCTGGATCAGCTACGCCCAGTTCGAGATCAACATCCCAGAAGCGGACGAGGGCGGCGAGGAGGACGAGGACGAGGACCGCCCGGTGAGCGAGGAGGCCAAGGAGAGGGCTCGCAAGATCTTCGAGCGTGCTCACAAGAGCATGAAGGAGAGAGAGCTCAAGGCCGAGCGGGTGTCGCTGCTCAACGCGTGGTTGGCATTCGAGAAGACGCACGGCTCGCCAGAGGACGTCGAAAAGGTGAACAAACAGATGCCGAGGAAAACGAAGAAAAAAAGAAAGCTGGAGGACGATACGTGGGAGGAGTATGTCGACTACATCTTCCCTGCGGACGACCAACAGACCAGGAGCTTGTCCAACTTGCTTGCCATGGCCAATGCCTGGAAGCAACAGACGGGTGGAAAGATTGGTGGGGAGGAATGAGCTTGTTGTGGTGTAATTCGAGTATAAAGATAATAGGAGGCCATAGAATGCACATCAGTTGCCCTGTTTTGGGACTGAATCCCTTTTCAATGAGATTCTTGAGTGTCTCATTCTTCTCACCATAAGACACTTACAGTATGTTGTCATTTCAGCGGAGAAGACATCGACATGACTGTTTATACTTGAACCGAGTCCAACCGTTCGGGTCCGCGTTCGCAGCGTTGCGTCCAAGGGTGGGTCGAATTCCGGGCCGAGAAACGGCCAAAGCCCCGAATGATGAGCTAAGAGCAATGAGGTCACCTCAAACTACAACCAGCCCAACTTTCTTTCTCTCCGCCTCCTGTTCGATTCTCTTGCGCCAAACTAGGTAACCGCTGGGTCGAATTCCAGCTCAATCGGCCACGATGCAGTCTACCAGATCAACTGCGCTCTCACGAGCACTCCGGACTGCTGTCCGCAGTCACCCCCACACCGCGAAGCGGCACACTAGCTCAGTTGCTCTGCTGTCACAGAGATTCCAACCTCAGTCGCAACATCAGCAACACCAGCCACAAAACATCCTCTCCCGCCTAGCAGCATCTTTCACACCTTCTCTCACACAACAAACCCGCCATGCCTCCTCCTCCACGACCCCCCAAACTGACCTCCAAAAAACCCCCCTCTACGACCTCCACCTCTCCCACGGCGGCAAAATGGTCCCCTTCGGCGGCTTCCACATGCCAGTCCAATACTCCTCCCTCGGCGTCGCCCAATCCCACCTCTTCACCCGCTCCCACGCCTCCCTCTTCGACGTCTCCCACATGGTCCAACGTCTCATCCTCGGCCCGGGCGCCGCCGCTTTCCTAGAGCGGATAACCCCCAGCGACTGCAAGAATCTCGAGACCCACAAGTCGACCCTCTCGGCGCTCATGACGCTGGATGGAAAAGGTGGGATTTCGGACGACACCATCATCACCAAGCTGGCCGAGGACAAGTTTTATGTTGTGACCAATGCTGGGTGCAGGGGGAAGGACAACAACTATATTGATCGGGAGATGGCAAAATGGAATACCGAGATGGGGCATGAGGGGTTGAAGGTTAGGGAAGAGCAGCTGGATGGGTGGGGGTTGGTTGCTGTTCAGGGGCCAAAGGCGGAGGAGATTTTGCAGGGGGTTTTGACAGAAGAGGGGGTGGATTTGAAGAAGCTGCTTTTTGGGGGGAGTTTGTACGCCAAGGTGAAGTATGGGGGTGGGAAGGTGAGCAGCCCGCTTTTGATCAGCAGGGGGGGTTATACCGGTGAGTATGGTTTCGAGATTTCGATCCCCCCTGCTGAGACGGTGGGTGTTACCGAGGCCTTCCTCGCTGCTGGGCCGGAGGAGATCCAGCTTGCTGGGTTGGGCGCGAGAGATAGCTTGCGGTTGGAGGCGGGCATGTGTCTGTACGGGCATGACCTCAACGACTCCATTACTCCTGTTGAGGCTGGGTTGAGCTGGATTATTCCCAAGGAGAGGAGGTCGGAGAACGCGGGTTACTACGGCGCTGATGTCATCGCCAAGCAGCTCGTCCCCAAGAGCAAAGGGGGCGCGGGTGTCCACCGTCGCCGGATCGGTCTGCTTGTCGAGGGTGCGCCCGCGAGAGAAGGGGCCGAGATTGTCTCCCGCAGTGAGGATGGCAAGGAGGCAATTAGCTTGGGGACTGTGACGAGTGGGTGCCCTAGCCCGAGCCTGGGCAAGAACATCGCCATGGGATACATCAAGGATGGTTTCCACAAGGTTGGCACCGAGGTCGACATTTTGGTGCGTGGCCGGCCAAGGAAGGCGGTGGTGACCAAGATGCCGTTTGTGCCGACCAAGTACTGGAAGGGAACTGCCCCGGCGTAAGGCCTGTGATCAGGGAAGCAGCGTATTTTTCTTATGAAGGGGGCATGTCGTTCAACACATCACATCGCAAAATTTGGCGCAATTACAAGGCGGACTCTCAGTGGTTTTTTCAACATATTCGGGACAAGAACCGAACGGAATGGGATAGCGGTTATACGGAGTTGAATCTAGCAAAAAATCAATGTGCTCTAACATTTCATTTTTTCCACGTGTCGTGCCATGATATTTCAAAAGACTGAGATTCAGCGGACCCCAAAAAATGTTGAAAAGTTATTATATTCTGATTGTTTATGCTCACCACATCTCCCACTGTAACTCTGGATATCCCAATCTTTTCCCTCAGCCCCAATAGACCCCTCCTCTAAGTGACCCGTAGGTAAGTGACCCGTAGGTATAAAAAAAAGCCCCCGTCCCCATCCCCCTTGTCCATCAAATCGTCCGTCGTGAAGGAAGAAAAAAGCATATCCCGAGCCCATGTTGAATGTTTGCCCCAAAAGTTTTCCCACGCCCCCATGCAATAATAACATAGAAAAACCAACGCTCTAATCAAGAACCAAAGTTCAAAAGCCAATCATGACTCCTAACACGCCCGCCCGCCCGCCACCCTTTTCTTGAGAAAAATGGCTGTATGCAATGCAGAAAACGACACCGAAATTCTACCGAGCACCGCCCAGATGAACAACAATGACAACACAGTTTTTTTTACTCCTCCTGAGCCCATCTCCTTTCTCTGAGGGGCGCTTCTTTTCCGTCTTTTGGTCTTGTGCCTGTCACCTCGTCCTTCCAGGCATAGTACTCTCCGAGCCTGATCTCGGCGTACGAGGCATAATCAAAGTCAATGGTGGAAATCTCGGCCTGGATAAGAGCCCAGATGCCCCAGTAAAACCCTGGGACGCCGCGGAAGTGGTCAACCTCTGTGAGTAGCTGTTCCACCTCGGCCTTCTGGTCAACACCAGCAGCAGCACCGGGCTTCTTCTCTTCCCGGTAAGCAAAGTAGGCGCGGATGTATTCGTCAATGAACTGGCGTCTCTGAGCCCGAGTGGGAAGAACACTGAAGTCGCAGTCGAAGCCGCCCCACTCAGCAAAGTGGTTGGCGATGTCAAAGGCTGCGGGGGACGGGGTAGCATATTCGTAATCGATGAAGGTGACATTTTCGGTAGCCTTGTCACCGTTTGTTACACCCTGTGAGGTTTTGGGGAGAACGATGACGTTGCCGCTGAGCAAGTCGCAGTGCGCAAAGACCAACTGCAAAGGATCACAGGTTAGCAACCGTATCAAGATGGTATCTCAGGTCAACCTACCCCGTTCACACCCAGGCCGGGCCGCTGGCTCAGCTGCGAGACCAGCCATGTAAGCTCCTTTTGCAACTCGGCTTGACGAGCTCTTTGCGCCTCCGTATCTGTAGGCAGAGCAAAGATCCATTTCTGCATCACAGTCCACACATTCGGGGGCGGCTTTCCTGGGGCAACATTGTCGATAACATTCTGAAACTCGGCATCCCCGAGGTTGCTGTCCAGCGTCACAGGCCCATCTGCTCTCGAGTTCTTGCGGCTGTGTCCCGTGGGAGCCTTGATACAGGGAACCACAGCATGCCACTGAGCCAGACGTTGCGCTACAGCCTTGTAAATGACGGGCTTGCGCAGGTCTTCGGGCTGAGTGGGCGATCCCTGGATGAAGCGGTACATCATCCCGTTCTCGAAGCGCGCAAGCAGCTCTGGGGCCAGTCCATGTCTCATCAGCAGCTCATGGTTCTGCGTCTCACGGAACCGGTCGATAATAACATCGGTGCCGTTACCGTAGGCACGTAGCAGAATAGCCTCGCCGTCCACCTCTTCCTTGGAGAGCCCTGGGCGCTTGTTGATCGCCTTCAGCAGGGTATTGGTGATGCCATCTGTGAAGCGCACAAACTCGACCTTGTTGGACGCAGTATCGGCCCAGTCTGGGCGGATCGTGAGGACGAGTTCAAGGGCTGATTCTTCGGAGTTGGCACCGTCGTAGGAAAGCGGAATTCGGCGGATGTGATGGTCGCCAGCCCCGTTCGACTGGTTACCGCCGCCGTTGAGGAGAACACCGTTCTCACCGCCCACAGCCATTAGTTCAATCTTCTTCGAATCTGTATGTTGCGCGGGAGCTTGTGAGATGTTGAAAGAGGGAGACGGTCGGTTTTCAGGGGCAATCGAATTCGTCATTTAAAGGGAGCGCGGGGTCGCGGGGCGTGGAAATGGTCAGGACAATTGCAATTATTAAATCGTCCTGTCTGTGAGTGTGGGGGCACGCCAACAACTCAACAAAATCGAGGGAGGTAGGCGAATACAGAGATCGGCTTCGACTAGCAGACAAAACTCTCGAGGAGCAGCAGGGAAAGGAGAGTCGAAGAAGAGGCGAGACCTAGAGGGAGGGTACACCCGATGGGACGGTGGGGCAGCCCTGGAGGGATTGTTACTTTCAGAGTGTGCGGTGTGGAACAACAACCTGGGATGGCGATTTATTTACTTGTTGTGGCCCAGAAACAGCGGTGATCAAGCGAAGGGTTCAGGAAGAGCGAGTGGCTTTGCAGGAGATGTCGGTGAGGGCCTCGCTGCCCAGTTTAACAATCTAGGATGTTTTGTTGTTTCTACAGTTTCAGGGAAAAAAGATGATGTTTGGGATTGGGTTTCCTCTCACACGATGCCCTTCTGTTTTAGGATGGCCCTTTTGCAGCGGGATCCATCGCCACACGCTCGCCCCTTCCTTTACTGTCACGGGCGTACCGGGAGATCCCCTCTTTCCTTTTGGCGCATCCATGGCAGTCCTCTTGGCAGTGTTTGTCTTTGAATTCCATGTGAAGTGGCCCGAGCGTTGCGGGGTGACGCCACAGGGTTCCTTTCTTTCGGCATTTGGTTGCCGCCCTGCCACAAGTGCCTGAGCCCCTGTGGTGCGTGCCCCGGAGGACGCCGTTTTATGTCCAAACGTCCATCCGATTGCACCGGCCCTCCGCATCCGTCCTGCCAACCGCTGCTCCGCTCGCCGATTGGGGTCCGCTGAAGTGCTGCGCCCCGGTCCCATCCCGTCCCTTGGACACATTCGCACCAGGGCGACCTTGCTGTGCCAAGTAAGTCCTAACGTGAATTACCAGCTGCGACTCATAGGCAGTTGTGAACCCAGGTCACCACACCAGCCTTGCATTGCCAACTTCTTCGAAATCTCACCTCTTGCATGCTTGTTCTGGAATAATTGCTTTCACCCCCATACCGTGGCCATCATGGCTGCCCCTGTTCTCCCTAGCCAGGACAACTTTATGGGAGTTGCACTGGTCATCAACCGCTCCAGAGACGGCCCTCGACTAGTTTTCCACTATCCAAGACGAAAAGTTCTCCCAGCGGGGGTACCAGAAGTTGTCGAGGGAGAAGAAGATTTGGACGACGACGATGACAGATATGGTTGGCCAGAGGCAGGCGCCTCCTCTGTGATGCATGGCGCCGAAATGGCACCGTGGAATTATGATGACCACATCTTCACTGAGAGCGGTACACAACTAGTACCCTGGGAATATGTGGCCGGCTACCCTACCAAAGACCTTGAGAACCTATTGACACCAAACAGGGCATACCACAAGAGGCTCTTTCGGGTATCTCTGGACAATATTTACTGTGTCTCATACCCCATCTATGTGCCTGAAAACGGCATGTGGCAGAAGAAGAAGAGGAAAAAGAAGCAGGAGCAGGAGCAACACCAAGCCGAGTCTGGACCGGGTGCCAAAGAGGACGACGCACTACCCACCGAGACCGACACAGGCTTCAAGAGTGGTGATAGGGTGGCAAGAGATGGAGAGCCATTGGGTGCCGGAGATGCTGAGGGCAAAGAGAAAGCAGAAAAGGAAAAGAAGGCTTCTATGACGATGTTCAACTTGGTCTTCTTTCTTAGACCAAAGAAGCATGAGGCCAAGGACTTGGTCGACATCATGTACACCAACATCATCAAGAAGATCAACAAAGCATACAAGTATTGCCAGGAACGCAGCGACTTTGTGTGGAAAGAATCCAAAAAGATCCTAACTCTGAAGGATAAAGGTCGCGAGGAGAGTAGGTAGCCCCGTTTTGAAACGAGATGGCTACGGCTGGCTAATTTCGAGATCCAGGAAGAAAAATGAGCTTGCTGTGGGATGAGATCTTGTCGACTTCATCGCTGGCAGCGTCTATGCGCGATCTCTACGAAGCCGTATCCCAGAACAGAATTGCTGCTTTACAACTGTGCACAGCCGAGGGGATGGTGACCCATTCGGTCCAGATTCCTGTCCCATTCCATGTCTCTGACCTCCCAGACAATGGAGAGGCAAGTCAGCCAGGCTTGTGGTTAAGTACTGCCAATACGCTGATGAGTGACGATGCGGCGGAAGAACCTGGGTTCTTGGACAAGAACTTTGCTCTATTGCTTCTGGTGGATGAGAAACGTATCATCACTGAGCTACAAGACGACCCGGACGAGACAACTTTGGCCATGATTGAGTTTGTGAGGCATTGCAAGCCAACTTTGTCGTTCTACCAAGTTGGCCAGCAATCTAGTAATGTTCTGTCGCCAACACAGGTTCGCAAGTTCGCCCAGCACTTCATCTTTTGGCGCCGAGCCATCGCCATCCCGCCACTACACGCACGAGACATGTACATCGTGAGCCCGAACTGTGACATGCGCAAGCTACCCCAAGCAGCCGCCCATTGGGCCCGCCAGTTCCCTCTCGTGCCGGCCCTTCCCAGCTTCCTCGCCGAGCTGAGCGTTGCCCCCCGTCCATATAAGCTGCACTGCCCGAGTAAGGCTCACCGTCCAACTTACATGGCCATGCTCGCCTGGCTAATTCGCGGCGGCTGGGTAACCCAAATCTGCACCTTTGCCTACGTCGTTGTCTGGCCCGAGATCATCTACGAAGTCGAACACGCCCTCGAAGCCGAGCAGATTGCCAAGGAAAAGAAAGCCCAAGCCATGGGCCGTGACGCAAACAGCATAGAAAGCGACGACGCAGCCACCATCATCTCTCCCACAGCAGCAGCCCTGAGCGACCCCTCCCTCTCCGGCTTCCTCCCCCTGCTCAACGACGACAATACCCCCTCAAGTCCCTCGCCCAACAACCCCATCGCCCACTCAGTAACCTTCACCGACCTCCCCCTCCCCCTATCCCACTCCCAATCCCTAACCAACGTCCAAAAAGCCGCCTGGTCCACCACCTCCCCCTCCCCCACCTCCCCTAGGAACCATCACCACCGCCACGCCCTCGTGGGCAGTCATCATCAACTCGGCCACCAATCCCCCGTAACAACCTCCACCTCCAACCTCGACCTAAAATCCCTCTCCCTCCGCTCCCAAGCCTCCCCCTCCACCCCCTCCCTCTCCTCCAGCCAAAACTCTGGCGGCGGCGGGGGAACCACCACACGAGCAGAAGAAATCGCCGAAAAAGCCCGCCTCTCCCGCATCGCCTCGCGAGCAGCCCACGATCTAGCAGAGAGATCCATGCTCCACGCCCGCAAACCCGTTCCCATGGCCACCTCCCACCCAAGCGTCAACCACGCCCGTCATCTGGAGGCCATGACCCCTTACATCATCCTCGATGCGAAGAAAGCTACCGGAAAGGAAAGTTTATACCTCAGCGCGATAGGGAAACGGTTCAAGGAGCGGGCGGCAGAGGCGAAAGCTGCCAGGAGGGCGAGGGATGGTCAGCAGCAGCAGAAGACCGGGAGTGATACTAAGAGTATGGCTAGTTCTGGTGGTGGGAGGAGTAGTAATATAGGAGGTAAACCTCACATTGGTGGTGGTGTTGGTCAACAGCAGCAGCAAGAGTGGGAGGAGAGGGTGGCCGATGCCTGGCCCATGTTCCTCAAGTACTTCAACGGGAGGTCGGCGCTCGAGAGAATCGCTCTGCAGGAGGAGATGAAGAGGAAGGATGTCTGGAATTTGTTGACGGCTATGAGCGAGTACTTGCTTACTGTTCGTCACTGGTGATTAGCTCTTCGGGGTCTGATTCAAAGCTAACAAACCAAAACACCCTCCCACCATGATTAACCAACTGTGCGGATGCGCGTGGATACACCATCCTCGGGGCTCTCTTGTAGATAGATATACGTGTCAAAACCACGAATCACAAAACCACACAACAGTAAACAGTGAAGGCATGACGGTGAACTTGTCCTAATATTGTAACAACTACTCTCGCTGATAACTCCAGAACGAGGCTGGTCAACAACCCTCCCTCCTTCGTTGCCCATGCGAGCGAGCCAGCCATGGAGAGAAAAAGATGAAAAGCAAACGCTGAATGCCATGCTGGGGATCGTCATCTCTCTAAACCAAAAGCATCCATCCTCGAAATGAGTCTGAATTAGATAAGGAAAGCCCGACCCCCATAAGTAGATAATTCCAAAAGAAATGACCCAGTCCGATCCCGCCCAGATAAAACAAATCTCAAGGTATCATGATAAATAGTGTATGCGAAAGGGAAACCCGCAAGCAAAGAACCGCTCCAGGAAAGAGAGAGGTAATTTAACGCCTGAAAACCCAAACAACACCAGATATTTCCTTGGATACACAAATATGTTCCCTGCCCCGCGGCCAAATAAAACCTCTGCTTCCCGGTATACCAAGCCCAAGCTGAAACCCCCTCGAGTTGCGCCGAAACGACCGTGAAATATGCCTTGAGCTGTCAAACGCAGCAGAAAATGCAAGATGCAGATGCAAACTCTGAAAGGGAATCCGTATAAAGCAAACCCCGCCAAGCCTCCTTCCTGGTTCCTCCCTCCCATCCCTCCCAAAGAAAACATATGCAGTGAACAAAACCTTCGACAAGCCAGTGGAGATAGTCTGGAGTAAGAAATCATGAAATGGTTCGGTGTCGCCATCACGACATATCCATCCTGCCGTATTCGGCCTCCGATTTGAAAGCCCCATTGTCATTATCATCCTCGTCGTAGTCCAGGAAATCGTCGGCGTCCAGCATGTCATGACCGCCCATGCCATTACTGGGGCTCACCGACATGTAGCCACCCGAAGTTCCATTATTCCCAGAACTCAGCTTCTTGCCGGCGTAATCGGTGAAATCCGGCACACGAAGATTAGAGCCGTCAGTACGCGAGTAGGTGAACTTGATGCCAAGATCTTTGGACATCATATCCAAGACTTCTGACTGCATACGCTGTTCATCCTCGGTGATTTCAAAAGGTAGCTTTATGCCCGCAGCCATGAGAGAGTTTGAGAGCTCTTCTACCTGGTGAATCTTGAGCTCGACCAGCCACATGAGATCCCGCATCCAGGCAACGGAGCCGTTGAGAATATCGCCCTTGTTGGGACCCTTGTCTTTCTCTTCCATCGGCAAGCCAGTCGTGATGGATCCAGCGGTACCGCGGACCGCAGCACGAGCACCAGGACCGGCCAACGATGACGTGGCTTGGCCGGGAGTGCCACTATCAGGGGACATGGGAGTACCGCCGTTTTGAAGAGCTTTACGGACCTTTTCGTCCTCAAGCCTATGCGTTGGGACGAGTTTGCTGAGATCCTGGATTCTCTCATTGATGTTGTCTCGTCGGCGACGCTCGACCATGTTGTGGGACTCTCTCCTCTTCTTCTTCTTTTGCTCGGCTGTGGACGCTGCTGGCGACCCAAGTTTGGCTGGCATGGAAGCGCCTCCCTTGAGGAGCTCACTCATCTGAGTGTGCATGCCCGCTGTGATGGGGGATGAGAAGCCCGACGCGGATCCGGGAAATGAGGATAAACTATTAGGAGTCCCCATCCACTGTCCGGAATGAGACTTCTCGTGACCCACACGACCAGTTGGTCTGATAGGTTGGGCAAAGGTCGAGTCTGAACCGATCGAGAGACCCATGGTGGCTCCTGTGGGCGCTCTCGGAGCCGATGGCTTGCGTCCCATGACTTGGGGCATGGGAGGGCGTACTGGTTTGAAAGGGAGGTCGGTCGGCTCGTTCAATTCTGGGGTGTAAGCGAGCGGCGATTGCATCGAGACATACGATTGTGGGTGCTGCATCGGGCGGTACTGGTTGTACGGTTGGTGCACGTAGGGGCTCTGAATAGGATCACCGTCGGGGGTGCTCGAGTAATTGTCGATGGATAACCCGTGATGAGACGAGCCGTAAGCGCCGTGGGAGAAAGCCATTCCACCCATGTTGTCCATGCCGAAGTCTTGCCCTTGGCCATGCAACCCGCCCTGATGATCTGTCGGGTTAGGGCTTGTGAGACTGTCGAGTAGCTCGTCATCGCCGAGGAATCCGTTCGACACATTGTTCGTGTTTGTATGGCCGCCAGAAAAGTTATTGTTCTGGAAGGATGAACCAAAGTTTCCGGCCATGGAAAGGTCGTTTGGGTCGATTCCGCCATTCCCTCCATGGCCATTCATCGGAAAACTATGGTGTGACATCTTGTCAAAGATGGCGGTTGTGCGTAGAGTGATGCCTCCAAATTGACAGGAAGCGAAATAGAGAAAGAAAAATCCAGCGAGTGGGCTGACGACGTTTCGGTAAAGCGGACTATCACAGCCTCAAAGTCAGTCGTCGCTGTGGTACTATACACAGGGCAGGTACATAAGGTAAAAGAGGAAAGATGATTAGACTTTTTGGCAGACTGGCGAGGCTAGGAAATGCGCGGCCTACCACCTAGCCTACGAAGCGGAAAATCCTATTAGATGTGTTCTTTTACATACCTTTAACGTGATTTGTCGAAGGTCAACTTCGCATCGGGTGGCGTGGCGTGGTGAGGTAAGAGAGGCCAACGAGCGGTTGAAGGGATGAAGATGACTCGACGGTCGGAAAGCCGAGACTCTGTACAAAGACGAGAGCGGTCGGGTCGTTTACGCCAAGTTCCGGGCAGGAGCTCCGAGTCTTTTTGTTTTTTTGGTGGCTTTCGCGACAGCGAGGTGCAGAGAGCAAAGTCGGGATCGTGCGATGAAAGTAGCTGCGACGGGAGAGGCCGCTTGATGGGGGTGGATTGTCGTGACCTTAAGTGCCCTGACGAGAGTGGGTGAGAGGAGTGTGGGTGGAAGTGGACTCGTGGGGTGGGTAAAAAGGTCTGGGGTTCGGAGGTGGAGGCCTAACCCTTTGTGGAAATGGTCGCTAATAAGTGACAGCGACAGGGCAAAAGGGCGGACAATGCCGAAGTGATAAAGGGGGCAGCGCAAGCCAACAAAAAAAATTGGTCGACTCGAGACAGCGAGGCTGCTTTTCCTTTGGGAGGCGGGAGGAAGATGGACGAGTCGCAGCAAAAAGACCCGGGTACGATCTTTGTGATGGGCGGCACAAGTGGATGTGAGCGTCTGTGATGATTCTGGTTGTTTGTTGGAGAAAGGTGGTAGCAACGACGGGAGCGGGGGAGGAAGTCGGAGTTTAAGTTGTGCGCGGCGAACAGCTGGAAAAGGCGGGGTTTAAAGTTGGGGGAAGTGGGGCTCTTCAGCGCTGGGACGAGAAGGTCGAGGTTCCAGGGTTCTGGCGATCAGTTTACCGCTCTTCTGGCGCTGGTTGCTCCCCCGTCGGATTGGTTCCCGACGTGCTGCCAGTGGCGGGAATGAGGAATGAATGAAGATCTAGGTAGTAGGTAGCTGAGGACTGGTAGGTGGCAGTGGTCAGAGCCAACAAGATCTGGTTCGGGAATGAGGCCGTGGATTGGTGCGTAGCACTAAATCACTGTTGCTAGTATGACCAAGAAGGCAGGAAGGGACTCAAAGGGAGGCGGTTGGAGGAGGCAGGTTCCAGTTTATTAACGCGGATCCAGCGGCTGAGGCTGAGTATTTCCCAGTTGGCAACCTGAGTAAATGCTTTCTCTGGCCACTTCGGATGAGGGCTCTCAGCAACCACCCGGACAGTATGGGGGTCTTGTTGGGTGCTGCTGACACTTCCGGATGCTCCCAGACTCTCCCTGTTGTCAGGAGCCGAGGGGAACAACGGCCGAGGCGAGTTGAGTCCGAGAGATGACAATGTGTGTTTGTGCCACAATACCTATCTATCGCTTCTCGTCTCCGAATGGTCCAGAGTTGATTGGTTGCGTGTCTATGAGCGCTGTGGTGTGTGAGATGTTCCTCAGATGGCGGGGTTTGTCACTCCGCGCCCAGAAATGGTACGGTAGTCTAGCTTGAGCGTTATTTTTTTTCAAGCAGTAGCAAGTCGTTTGTAAGGAACAGTGCCCCGTTTCGAGAGGTTGGGTTCCAAGATATACAGTCCGGCTCTCAGAGAATCCCTCCGGCTTGCCAATGTTTCTAATCTAGGCGCGTTGACCGAAGGGTTGACAGATGTGCCGTCCCTTTGTTCAGTGGGCTCTGGATAGAAGGGAAGGTGATGGCTTCGGGGGTTCTGTTCTGCAGGGCTAGCCTAGTTGCGTAAGCCGACGTTACGGCTAAGCCGGATACGGAGAAGTACCGATCCTGGGGTGCGTGCGTCGAGATCTCCAACGTCTCCTCCAAGTCCTGGTCTCCACGTGTGGCAGAAAGAAAGGGATTGTCCTGCCGTTTGGTTTCGGTTCGGGCACGTGGCTACCGTGGTATCGGACTCTGTTGTATCGGACGTCTTGAAGTGGGTTTCTATCGGGGAAGACAAGACTGAATGAGTTGTTGATGTGCTGTTGAGTCTCGCGTGATGCATACTCTTCTTGTGTATATGAGCTGGTCGAGTTGGGCAGGCAGGCGTACACTTGTAGTGACGGCTCTAAACTGGGCGACGTTACTTCGAGTAGTAGGTAGCCAACGCCAACAACGTTAGCAGCGGGCTCGGGAAGGGCAAGGACGAACTGAAGAGACAAGAAGTCCGGGGTGGTTGGTTCACTGTGCATAGAGAATCGTTTGGCCTTTCTTATATCCTTACGACAACAACACCCTTTCCGTGGATCGCCAAACACAAGGCGGATCAACTTCCAGGCACGTCTTCTGACTCGATGGCCGTTCAAGTTGGTGTGCTGGAAATGGAGAGAAACAAGATCAGGGCGGACACAACAGGGCACACTTTCGAGTCCAAGCGGTATGGGAGGTCTGCTTTTCCAGGACACCTTGCTTCGGCCTACTTCACCGAGCTTGTCCGAATATGACCGGAGCATAGCTAGCTATCAGTGTGACTCCCCCAAGTGAGACATCGGGCCCACACCAGAGAGCTGGATGCGTAAGGTGTGTCTATGCCGCAATTCCAAACCATGGCGGCTGCTGCACGAAGCACGCAAGTACCGGCGCCGAGATCAACGACACGAAGTAGCATCTGCCACGCACCCATAAAAAGCACCCATGAGAGAGAGAGAGGATCGACCCGTGTGGTACGAGGGTACTTTCAAGTAACTCGACAGAGTAATGGGGACATGGAAGATTCTCACATTTCATATTATACACTGTCGGCGTGTTAAAAGGCTGGCCGGTACTCTGAAGCATGTGACAGGCCAAGCAAAAAGGATCGATTCTTCTACCAAGCAAAACGTCTGCCCGTTGAGAGGAAAAACACCTTGTTCCGCTGCCTACCTTACCTGCCACCCCAGAAACGAGAACCAAGCTTGATGCATTCAGTAGCGATGTTGCCAAATAGATAGGTAGGATTTATCATGTTTCTGCAAACTAGGCTACCTGTAGACGAGCTCATGCTTATGCTGCGCCTCCCCATGCAGCGTCATGCTGATGCGATCCGACTTGTCACGACGGATGATGGCGGGTGGGTGGAGGTTGGTGGGATGGAGCTCTTAGGTTGGGCTGGTGACGGTATAAAAAAAGAATGCAGCCTTTTGACCCCCCCATCTCTCCTCCCTGCAAGCCTTTGCATGCAACCTCTCAAGTGGTCACGGACCACTTTCAATGTCCAGATCGGCCAACAGAGACTAAGGAATAGTGGACCCACCTTGGCATCAACGACTTCCCATGAACGCTTCACTCCATCTGGGAATCAGACCAACCCTACCTATGTCTACCTAATCCCGTACCCACGCGCAACGCCCACGTACACCCCAGACGATTTGTGAATCAGATGCTTCACGGCCAGAGGTTTAATATTTTATATTTTTGTGGCGCATAACTAACGAACGAGGCGCCCAGTTCGACAACCGGCGACGACGGGCGCAACTCCAGCTTGTCCAACATCCAGATTCCAGAATCCCATCCCATCCCACCCACACCCACTTGGGCGAGCGGTCCATTATCACGAATCATCTGAGCATCGCTTCAGATCATCGGTTACAACCCGTATGCACGCCGCATGACTGTCAAATCAAGTCTCGAGACAACCTTGAACTAATCATGCGGCTTCATAGGAACATTATCTCCGTCAGATTGTCCACAGTCCTGCTTCCATCTGCCGCGCGCCGCGGCTACCACTTGTCGCCCTAGAGGAAGACCTTGACAAATCTTGGAAAGTGGGATCCGCTAACGGCTACGAAACATGGCTTCGTCCTCGTTCCGCGATTCTATCAACTCACTTGGATGGGCGCGTCGCGACACCGACCTCCCAGTTCACACTTCTCGACAAACCGGTCTCTTCTCGTCGCTTCAGTCGTTAAATCCGTTTGGTGACCGGGGTTATGTTCAACTTCCAACAACCGAGGGCCCCGGGGCTCCCTTACCAGCACCCAGTCGTCGCGAGGAGGAGGAGGGGTGGTTTGCATGTAGGTCGACTCAGGTCTTTCTTTTCCGTATTGGCGGACAACAAATTGGGGCAACCCGTTGGCTGTGTATTTCCAACACCCTCCATAACCCCCGTTACCCCTGCGTCGAGGCATACGTGCACCGCCCTTTGTGTGCGCATGTCTTGGCCAGAGGCGCTCAGCGCATGTTTGCGAGCTCGTGTTTTTTCTGTTCTGTTATCACTTCGCGTGCTGAATAATGTGTGCTGACCTGGAATGGCATAGTGAGCCGATGGGACCGACTCTTGATATTTGCTGCTTGCAATATTGCCGCGCTAGTCTGCTTCGTCCTTGTTATTGCTCTCTTTCCGGCCCTGAGTCTTGCAAGACCACGTAAGCTCATGATCTTGTAAGTGGACCTTTTCGGATATGTCGGGTTGGTATGCATAGTGGTCATCTTGCTTACAATAATAACAGATGGACACTGGGCTCTATTCTCTTCCTTTCCTCCTTCGCCGCTGTTATGGGTCCATGGGCATACGTGCAGCACTTGACTTCGACGCCGAGGCTGCCCTTCACTGCTGCCTACTTTGGCTCCTTGGGGTTGACCATTTACTTTTCGATCGGTGTAAGTCGCCTATTGAGACGCCTGCACAGCCCACCATTACTGACTTGTACATCGGCTGCAGCTCCAAAGTACAATCCTCACGATATTCTCAGGCCTTATTCAACTTGGTTGCCTAATCTGGTATCTGGTCAGCTACTTTCCCATGGGATCGAGCGGCCTTCGCCTTGTGAGCAGTTTTGGTGCGCGCAGAGCCGCGACTTGGATGACCGGGTAGAAAAAAGCGTTAGCCATGCGATGTATCAGACACCCCTTGTTGGATTTTTCAATTGCTGCTGAGGTTCTCATCCTCGGGTTGTATAAATAATAGACGTATGATATTATTGGATTATTGTTGACGTTATCGGTTACGCATGAGGCTACGTCCTGCTTAATCTTGACCAAACGCTTTCCTGATGCTCACACAGCTCCCATGCCTACCTTGTGAGGACGATGACGGATAATAAAGGGCGGCCTCGGTAATCAGGATATGTGGATAAGCGGGAGCTGCCCGGTGTTTGCGGGGAGGTGACAGAGAGTACCCGTAATTATCTCCACGTTTAGCCGATAGAACATGACGCTTGGCTGGTTCTTGGTGTTCCATTTCTTACCGACCTCGAACCTGGACTCTTTTGGGATCTCTCGCTTTCTGTAAGACCGAAGGCATCACCGCAGCAGTCAGAAGCCAAGGACCAGCACTGAATCCTTGGAGACTACGACCGTGGCGCAAGGCTTCCACCGTCGCCATCAAAAGAGGAAAGCTTCCCTCAGACCCAACCGGGTGTGTTTGAGTTGTCAACGCATTCGTGGCTTTTCCAGGAGGCGGCGAATCCTCCCCACTAATATGAAGATGGGCCTTTCACATGCGAAGAAAGCCATGCCATCACGGAGATAAGGCAATTTTGCTCCCAGCCTGCTTTTTCATCTCTGCCTTTGTCGTTTAAAGAGGCCGAATGGGAACGCTATACAATATTATACTATCAAACGTGTTAGATACCAGGTTGCCTGTCCCTCCGCTGTAAGTGGACTGGGCCTGGCTTCTCGCTTCGGCCTATCTCCGCAGCTCCACGAATTGGCGGCACCGGCCGGTAATGGCTTTGCCCGCTCGGGAGCCTGTACGCAATGAATGCGATGAAACCTTCCAAACTTGTGTTCGCTCTGCCGCACCGGGACTTATCAAGATAGCGGTAGCAGTCGAGATTACAAAGCGACCACCTCTAGATTGTCCAATGTGAAGTGATATGCAATAGCATACAATTCAGACACAGAAGGACGTTCGTCGTGAGAGGGTCTAGCGTAGGTCTTGACCGTTTAACCCCGCCTTCCTAATCAGGTTGGTGAGTGCAGTAGCGCGGCTTGTCTCTGTAAGCCGTTGTGACTTATTTTCCTGGCCATCATGATTTGATCAACACGAACCGGCCAGCTGCAATCAAAAGCTGGTACTGAGGGAACAGAAACCTGCCCCTCCGTTGTGTCACTTGCTCAGTTTCCCCTGAGCCTGGTTTGCGGGATCAAAACAAACCCCTTGGTCATTTTGAGCAGAGCTTGCTCAGAATGACATCTCATTGCAACATTCCTATATACCGCCACGCTGTGGGTAAACTACCACCTAAAACAGAGCGGAAGGAGAAATGCCACCGCAAAGTGACTTTTATATACCATTAGCAATTGAAACCCTCGGCATAGAGCGAGATGGTGCTGCCTGATAAAAGTGCAAAAAAGAAACAAGCTGGGCCATGCCAGCAGCTCGCATGTGTATTGGATCATAATGAGCTGCTGGAAGACACCAAGATTTTGGTACAATGCTGACGGCCCTGTATGAATATACTGACATTTACCCAAGCGCTGCTCAAAGGACAAGAGTCAGAGCATTCACTCAGGACTGGGGCATACCCCAGAGTCGGCCAGGTTCCCCTCATTCGCAAGAGCCAGCATCATCAAATGTTACCGCTTCCCCAGATCGGACGGATCGGTGGGATGCCTGTTTTTGACAAAATGGAGGTCTGATTGAAAAGATGAATAGATAGATTGCCAGAGACCGCCAATTATACTGATATAAAGAACGAGACACCCGGGGCACAGAGACAAGAGAACAATTCCTAAAGGACGGAAATCTTTAAGCAACAAGCCAAGAAAAAGAAAAAAGACAGGGTCCCACTCAAAAGGCAGAGCGACGATGCAGACTGTCAGTGACTGCTCATGACTGACATGAAACTAAGCAACAATAATAAAAGTGGGACGATGAGCCACTAGCAGGTGTCCCGTCTGTCATTCCATCCACAGGTGTATAAGCCGGAGCTGGAGCAATGAAAAGTAGTCAAGAGAGTTCTGGAAACCGCTATTCACTCACTGGGCTTATCGCAGTTCGGATGGGAGCAAGCTTCAGCGATAGGGGAGCATCTGGAGTAGGCGTAATTCTAATAATACTGCTGATTGTTGCTGTGAACCTATTTCAACGGAGTTTTTCTTCACCTTTCCCACCCAACTCACTGTTGCAGTCGCCGACTTATATTCGCGCAACCCCGCTGTTCCCAGGGCCTACCTGTAGCCCACTCAAAACAAACTTGAGGTAAGTACCTGCTCTAAGCTCAGCCATCTCCACCACTCTTTTTTTTTGCGGCAGTCTGGGACCCGAAAAAATTTATTCCCACACAAATCTTCTCTAACCTTTTGCCAGGCGAAGCACGACTCTCTTGTTTCCCCTCGGCACCTTTTTTTTTTTTTTCCCTTTCCCCCTACGACCCGTACTTTATTCCGGACACCCTCCTCAAGCCCTGGTGCACGTAACCTAACCCCAATCCCAGAGTCGAGTTGGTTATTAGGGCTTTTGTCTTCGGTCCTCCGCGGATCCAAAAGTTTGTTCGGCATTTTCACCAACAACCACCACCTGCGAAAAGCACCTCACCCGGCCCTGATTGCACACCAAGCACAACATCGTCAATCCAGCACATTGTCGGTGGCATATACCCCCACCTCCTTCCCATCCGGCACTCGATCTCCGGCGTCTGCTTCGTTAACCGTCTCCCTTCCCTCGAGAGACACATCGCTGCATACCCCGCCGTCCGATTTTCTCGACGCCGCTAGCGTTGCTTCGACCGAGCCAGGTAAAAAAAAAAAAAAAAAAATTCTGTACCCGCAAACTTTATTCACTTGACAAGCCGACCGGCCTGTTCATTTGTGACCTGTCTCCTTGGGAACCTTGGAGTAGCTGTCACCGTTAGAGCACCCGGACTGGTCCATCTTTGACCTCCGTCAAGAGCTTGAGCTTGCCTCTCTCCCTTTCCCTCGCCACCGTCACCGCAAGTCGACAGAAAGAAGGGTCATTTTACTGGATAACCGCACATATTGTCGGTTGGCCAGTCTTAATCGACCAAAGTACGGCAGGAGAACAGCTTGCTGTCGCTGCTGTTGCGCAGTCGGGATCATTCCGACATCTCACTTGATCGAGACAGGCCCACCCCGATCATCACCAATCAACATGTCTTCAGCGGCCTTTTCCTATGCCCAGGCCGCTCGGGGCCAAGCTCCTACACAGCCTAACACACAGGTGGCGTCGAGCCCCGCGCCATCAACAGTTGACTCCAATGTCAAGGACGATGTATCAACTGGCAACTCGTCCGTGACTGCCCCTTCTGTCACCTCTAACATTGCCCTGGACGCCGAGCAGAGCATCCAGCCAGATTCCGAGAATGGAACAGCCAAGGTCTCTGCCAACACTGCCTCGCAGACCACCCCAACACCCACGGTTGTGCCGACAGCCGACATCGAGGAGAAGAAGGAGCAGGGGAGCGCCAACGTCAACTCACAGCAGCAGTCAGATGCGAGAAGCTCGAGGTCAGCCAGCAGGACATCCAGGAGGAATGACAATGGAGAGAACAAGAAGGGACGCAAGGGCAAGAAGTCGCGGGGTCAGGATAAGGAGGCCGAGCAGCAAGAGGAGGCTGCCGAGAAGCAGGCCGAGAAGCCTGTGTACACAGAAGCCGCCATTCCTTCTGTCAATCCTTGGTTGAAGCGTGCCGAGGGACTCCAGTCCAAGACTCAGACTGCCTCAACGGCTGATGCTGCCGAAACCAAGACTTCTGAGGCTGCTGAGGCTCAGCCTGTGGTGAACGGTGTCAATGGAGACAAAGCTGCCCACAAGAAGCAACCAGATTCCCGGGCTGCTGAACAGCCCCCCCGCAGAAACGCCCCCCGAGGTGCTCGTGCCAACGACAAGGAGGAGAAGACTTCGGTGACGTTGCCATCGGTCGCTGATGCTTCTGCCTGGCCGGAACCCAAGGCCACTGCTGCTGCCGTCAAGGAGCAGCAACCCACTCGCAAGTCAGTTGAGAAGACTGAGAGCTCAGCAAAGGAGGGCCAAGATGAGGCGGCTCCCAAGAAGAAGGACTGGAAGAAGCTCGAGATCAACCACTCTGTCGTTTTTGAGACACAGCTGCCTACTCCTCGCAGCTCAAAACCCCGCGGTGGAGCTCGCGGTGGTCGTGAGTCGGGTTCCATGCGGGGCAACCTCAATGGTTCCGCTACATCACCTACTGCCGCTGGTCCTGCTGCCGAGAAGGCTGTCCCAGCCGGAGGTGCTCCTGGTCCTCGTGCCACCGCTCGGCCCCGTGAGGGCAGTCTGCCAGCTCGCTCCGCTGGGCAGAACCAGACCACCTCACCTACCAAGCGTGGCTCCGTTGATGCCAGTGCTCAGGACCAGCAGAAGCCTGCTGCTTCCGCTAGTAATGAACAACCCCGTGAGAAGACCCAATCTGTAAGTTTGCCTCGAATCTACTTGTGCTTTGCCCTTCCAGGCACTAATTCGCTCCTGCAGTCATCCAGAAGATATACCAAGGACATCCGCACCGAGAACGGCCAGCTGAGTACTGAGGGTGGATCAACCCCAGGTCGTCCTTTTCCCCAGGAACGGGTCAACGGCTTCCACCCCAAGGACGGTGCTCAGGGCAATGTCAATGGACACCATTACCCTGTTCGCGAGAACCGCCCAGAGCGCGGTCGCGGTGGCTATCGGGGCCGTGGCGGCCACAATGGTGCTGGCGCTCATGCCACCGGGTCTGCAGGCTTCCAGGTCAACGGACATTATCCCACACAGAACGGGTTCCATGGCCACTCGCACTCTCGTCAAGCACACTCTGCCCAGAGCCCCCCGCCGTTCAATGGCCAGTTTCCCCAAACTTTCCCCAACCAGGGCAGGGGCCGCGGCAAATGGAACGGGGCGAACCAACATAGCCCTCGTGGCAACCACATGAGCGCCGGTTATCCTCCCAAGTCGGCCAATCCCGTACATGATTTCCAGGCCCCAGTCTACCCGCCTGTCATGTACCCGTATGGCCCTGAGGCTATGATCAAGAACCAGGTAGAGTTCTACTTTTCCCTCGACAACTTGTGCAAAGACTACTTCTTGCGCAAGATGATGGATGGGCAGGGATTTGTGCGCCTTGAGGCCATTGCCAACTTCCCCCGTGTGCAGCAGCTGACTACAGACCTCAACGTCCTGCGCTACGCTTGCTTGCACCTGGAGAATGTCGAGTTCGTCGTTGGTGATGACAATATTGAGAGGCTCCGGTCTGGCGACGCCAGAAGGGCTACTTTCATTCTGCCTGAAGACCAACGTGAGCCTGCTTCCAGGCATGATGGGCCTGCCAATTTCCGGGTCATGAACAGTCAAAACCCTTATGCCTCCTTTGGCGCCATGGCTCCGCCTATGATGGGCTACTCTCAGTACCCTGACGGACACATGTACCAGCCTGAATTTATGCCCAGAGCTCACAACGAGTTCGCTGTCAACGGCAATGGTGCGGTGAACGGTTATCATCACTACCCCCATGATTCCCAGCTTTCCGCTGGTGTTCCTGCGTTTGCCCCCCCAGAGGAGCCTGTGTCTCTGGAGAGCATGACCAAGTTCTCAGACTCCCATGTTGATAATCTTGTCATTGTCCTGGGTGCCAAGGATAGCGAAGAGACTGCTGCTGCTGTCGCGGGTTATGTTGCCAACGGTAACACCCAGGACGGCTCTGAGCCTACCATTGTGTGGATTCAGGAGACTCAACCTGAGAAGCACGAGCGTCAACCATACCACGAAATCCGCAAGACTGCTCTCGAACGCCGCCAAGGGGCTCAGGCCGGTGAGGTTCCAGAGGAGATGCAGAACCTCTACCGCTTCTGGTCAGAGTTTCTCCTTAGCAATTTCAACGCCAGAGTGTATGAGGAGTTCAGAAACTTGGCTTTTGAGGATGCCTCCAGCTCAGTTCCCGCGACTGCCGGGCTCAAGACCCTTCTTGGCTTTTATGACAAGCTCTTGTTGGACACGTCTGTCCCCAAGCCATGGCCGAGCCATCGGGCGTTCCCTCTTGTTCTGACCGAGCACCTTCAGGCGGCCAAGGATCTCGATCAGAAGACACAGCCTCACGTTGCCATCTAGATCTGAGCACCAGGTGCCCCTGAGCAAGGCGTTTTGGTTGTTTGATACTTGTCACAACAGCACTTTGGAAGGGGTCTTCTGTCTATTTTTCAGCGTCCCGAAATTTCTGGCAGGTTGCAGCCATCAAAAGTGTCAACTCGAAAAGTCAACATGATCACTTGATGGGACGGTTGCTTCACGCTGCGTTTGTCGAACATGGTATTCATTCCATCTTTCAGCAGTGTTCTTTTCAGCATCGCCAGGTGCTATTCAGTTCTCGGCTTTATTTGTTATGGGGCCTTCTTTCAGTGAGGGGGTAGGTTGAGGAAAAGTGGTTAAAAAGAATCCTTTTATCTTGGCGAAAATGTCGTTCATGGCCTGGCCTGAATGGATCCCGGTCGAGCACGATCGGTTGGCGAGGAAGTGTTGACAACGAGGAAGGCTGTATTCTCGTCTACACGATGCCATTGGGACGCCCTGTCAGCGGGTTCTATATTCCTCGAGGCAGGCCTTTGCATTTCGCCATTTTGGGATCGGTTCTATCTTTGGGAAACTTGGGAAGGGGTCTGGGCGTTAATGTGAAGCTGGGACAGGAGACGATGGGTGTTTTTGACGTTTTTGTTCTGGAAGCAGAGCCAGGGGCAACAAAATAATTTTCTTCTTATGCATTGCGATTGGTCGCAAATTTTGCGTTTCTTATCCATGAGCTCGCAGCATGTTTCGGGGCGTTCATTTCTGTTTCGGATTGGTCGGGGTGCTTTTTCGGAAAACACCAAAAAAAAAGACGAAAACTAGATTGAGCATTTGGAGCGGCTGCTGCAGATATCGGCAACCTCTTCTATTGTTGTTGCGAGAGTTTCTTTTGTGCCTGGCACAAGCAGGAGGAAGGATGGTTCTTGATGAGAAGATGGTTTTAGACTTAGCCTTCTGGTTTCTTTTCGACTTTTTTCCTTCCACCGACTCAGCGACATTGCGACTTCTCTCAGTTTTCTTCGGCAAGACAAAAGTGTTGGTTGCGTATTGTAACAATGTATAAATAGCAGAAGAGAAGAAAAAAAGGACCAAAAAAATCAAAAGCGTTACTTTTGTATATATTGTATATTTATATATTTGTATTTATCTATCTCTGTTCGGGGTGATGTATGGAGGGAATGAATGTACTTGAAGACATTTTGATATCTTCCAGGCCATCATTGTCTTGGGGTTCGGATGGAGAAAAGTGGGGCAAGCTACTTGAGAACTTAAACGTTGCCATTAAGCCTTTCTTTTGTCTGTCACGCGCCCATCTGCATCTCTGCCTTTACAAGACCAGCAAGCCTCCCAAAGTATCACTGTTGAAATTGAGCTTTACCAGTTCGAATTCATTCTGACCCTGGGTAAGCCGACTGTCTGCACATGTGAAAGTGTGTATATGGCTAACACTGGCTCACAGACTGTTAGTCAACCGTTTCATCGGTGATCACATGCCAATAATCGCTTCAAGACCGTGAAAGAGGAGCGGCATCATCACCATCAACAGCACAAGATCAATCACCAACACGCACGACGTATATACAGAGGGTGTTTTAGTCCAAGCCCGTTTGATATTATCACGCCTTATTTGAGCGTTGCACATTCATCAAGCAACTTGGTTGCAGCGATCACACACACACACACACACACACACACACACACACACACACACACACACACACACACACACACACACACACACACACACACACACACACCCAGAATCACCAACTCGGCCAAACACATACCGCAAAGAGAGTGCGAGCAAAAAGGATGGCAAGCTCAAACCACCACCACCACAACCAACCTCACAATTCATACCCCAACAGCGCAGCCAGCCAGTCCCAAACACCAATATCCCCCCCGGGCCTGAACGGCGGCGGCGGTGGTGGTGAGGACGGGGACAAGCCCCGGCTGACAAAGGAGCAGAAAAAGACTAATCACATCCAGTCTGGTATGTTCTCCTCTCTCTTTCTCTTTCTCTCCCCCCCGACTTTTTTGCTGACGGGAGGGGGGAAAACAGAACAAAAACGGCGGCTTGCTATTCGCCAGGCGTATGATGATTTGTGCACGCAGGTTCCTGGGCTGGAGGGGCAGGCGAGGTCAGAGGGGGTGGTGCTGAATGGGGTTGTGGGTTATGTCAGGAAGCTGATGCTGGAGAGGCAGAGGATGATTGCCGAATGTGAGACTAGGGGGTTGGAGGTTCCGGCTGGGGTGAGGGAGGGGTTGGCGAACATGCCGGTTGGGTTTTTGGACGAGGGGGAAGGGGGGAGGGATGGGAGTGGGAGTGTTAGTCCTGGGAAGGGGAGTCAAGGGGGGAGGGAGTGATGGGTGGATGGGTGGATGGGTGGATGGGTTGGGGGAGTTATAGGATAGAGGTGGAAGTGTTGGTTTTTTGTGTATACTCGTTGGGGGGATGCGTTGATGGTGTTGATGGGTTGAAGGCGTTTGGAAAGCGCAGATATCTCCGGTTGGTTTCATAAGGAGGAGTCAATAATTCTAGATGATGTTTCTCCCGCTTGGGAGGTAGCGATTAGTTGCAATAGAATTGACAATGATTTTCAAGATGAGGATTAGCTTTCATGGCTTTGGGGTCTAGCTACTCTGTACAATAGTTATTTGTGAGTTTTTGCCAAGGACAAAACACCCACAATCGTCCCCTCCTGGCATTATCGAAGGACCCTCCTCGGCTTCACCGTCCGCAATGACATCATAAGACCCCTCCAAAACTCAACGTCAATCAGTTCGACCAGGGTCAAGGAAAAGTCAAGTTGAAATGACCACAGCCCAATTGTGCCTGACAGCTTTCGTCTAGAGTAGCGGAAAAAGATGAGCCTATCGAAGAGAGGAAAATGATGCACTACAGCAGAAACGGCGCACGCCAGTATGATACAGCAGTTAATATTACAAGGTATAGCCGCTTGTGACCAGCTGCTCACGAGGTGAGTGAGTATTGGCCACTGCGCCACATGAGCACTGCGTCATCGCTTCAGAACTGTGGCAGGGAACGGCAATTTTCTGGAGCACTACGAACTGTTTGGGCTTGGTTTTACGCCCGACACGAGCGGAGATAGCGGAGTAGTGGGCATCTCCTTTGCAAGTTATGGACGTGAGCGAGCTGTCGCTGTTCGCTCTTTCGGGGTCCTCGGAGGGTAGACAATCTTCCCGAGTCTGTGGTGTTGGATTTACAAACAAACCATTGCTGGGATGATCGATCATTCCTGAAGCGATCAAAAACTAAAAGAGAACAAGGGAGAAACAGTGTAACACATGTGTGGGAGGGAGGACAACGTGTAGTCTTTATATCTGCCGTTTAATAGGGAATATGCCTAGCAGGTGTTGATGGTTGTCAGTGCCCTGGGCCTGGTGTCACTGAGCACCAACAACAAAGATTCCGAATTTGGATCCCATGCTTCAACTGAGGTCGACTTCAGGGCGTTCATCTGATGTTTGCAAAACCAGGATGTGGCTTGTTTTCTGTACCAGAGATGGGAACGACAGTGATACAGCATCGATAGCTACAGCGGCGGTACAGGATATTGGCGAGGAGGGAGGCGCCCTCATCTATTCGTGTACTCTGAAGCCAACAGGCCAACCTGCGAGGCCCCCCAAACGTCTCAGTTTCAAGAGAACAGCAACCAGCAGTAGCGCTCGCCCGGCCAATACGACAACGCCGCCCACCATGGAGCCTTGCCTTGGTTCCGCTGCTGGCCCAACACCAGTAACAGGAGATCAGCGGCCAGGCCGATGCCCATCAGGCCTCCCAACCCTTCGACGATCTTCTTTTCCGTCACCTGTCATCACAGAGAGCCTCACCCAAGACAAGTTGGCGGCTTCCTAGTCTCTTTCCTATCTCCAGCTTCCTCACCGCAACAAGACTCTTGAAAAACACCAACAACGATCAGGCGTTGCTTGCAAATTACCTACCGCTTACTTGAGAGCTGCAGCTGCATCTGCATGACTGGTTCCTCCCACCAGCACCGCCGCCGATAGAACCCCTCGAACGAACCCCTCCCTACCCTGGGAAAATAGCCCCACTCTCTTCGCAATCCTTCTACAACACACTCCCAGCCCCCCTCTGACTCTTGCTTTTCAGCATCTCAGCACACAAACTTTTGCTTTTCTCCAATCCAGCAAGGAGAAACAACGACTCAACTGATGGCCAGCTACAACGACCCCTACGACATCCCCACGAGGGAGCGCACAACCCGGCGCTACTACCGGGAAGAGCGCCGTGAGGACCCTCGGGCTTATGACACCCGCGACAGCTATCTCAATGTCCAGTCTTCGCGCGACCTGGTACCGCGGGCCCGCGAGGACAGCGATCTCTCGGTAGAAGAGATCCGTCGTGACTTCCCTCCTCCCGGCTACTCAACCCGTGATTTGCGCCGCGCCCGCTCTGCCGAACCTGGACAGTACGACGACTATGACGACCGCCGGTCTCACTACAGCCGCTATGATGACCGCAGCGCTTACGGTCATGAGCATGACCGCCGGTCTCTGAGGAGGACAGACAGCTACTACGAGGAACAGCACAAGAAGAAGGTCCGCATGCTGTCGAAGCAGGAGCAAATCATTGCTGCTATCAGCGGAGCTGCCATCGCTATCGGTGGTAAGGAGCTGTATGACCGCCGCGAGGCCAACCAGGCCGGCACTCCCGAAGTTCAGCGCAACATTCTGGCTTCTGTCGCCCTCGGAGCTGCAGGCGCTCTTGCGGGATACCAGGGGACTGAGTTCTACAACAAGAAGAAGGAGAAGGAAGAGAAAAAGATCTTGGCTCACCGAGGTTATTATTCGGACGATGACGGAGAAAGCGCAAAAGAGAAGAAGGGCCACAAGAACTTCCTCGAGAGCGCTCTCGCTGCTGCGGGCTTGGGTGGTGCCGTCAAGGCTCTGACCGGCAAGGACAAGGACAAGGACGACAAGTCTGACACCAGGAGCCGTCGTGATACCAGCCGTTCAAGATCGAGATCGAGGTCTAGGTCCCGGTCTACCTCTCGCTCTCGGGGTGAGAAGGGCAAGGGTGAAGGCGCCAACAAGATCCAAAAGGCAGCTATGGCCTCGCTCATTGCCGGTGCCACCGAAGCTTTCCGCATTTCCAAGCAGCCCGGTTCATGGAAGGGCGAGAAGGCTAAGCGCGTCTTTACTGCTGCCGCCGGTGCTGCCACACTCGACGCTGCTCAGGACACTGAGAAGGCCGGCAGCAAGCTCGGCTTGGCTGAGGCCGTCATGGGTGGTCTGCTCGGCAACCGCGTCATCAACGGTTCCAAGAAGAACATCGAGATGGATGAGAAGACAGGCCGATTGCGATCGAGATCTCGCCGGCGTTCCAAGAGTGGCGACAGCCAGAGTGGAGGTGGTGTGAGCGGTCTGGCCGCTCTTGCCACAGCTGGCTTGGGCGCCTTTGCCGGCAAGAAGATCATGGACAGCCATGAGCGGTCCAAATCTCGTGGCCGGAGCGCCGATTCATACGACAGCCGTGATGGCGATCGTCGCCGCAGCAGGAGCCGCAGCGTTGTCGACTCGGCCCGCCGAAAGATGGCCAAGATCGGCCTCGGTAATGGTCCCGATGACGACGACAGGGATCGTCGCAGAGACCGTAGCCGCGACCGTGACTACAGCCGCAGCCGGAGCCGTGACCGCGGACACCGGGACGACCATGACGACCGCTCTTCGCGCCGCCACAGAGATGACGACAGAGACTACGACAAACGGCGCCGCGATTCAGATTATGACGACGCCCGTTCCCACCGCAGCGGTGGAGGACGTGATCGTTCACGCCGCCGGGGACACTCGCTATCAGATGACGATTTAGGGGATTCAGATGATGATAAGAGACGTGGAAGCAAGATGAGAGGTAAGCAAATTCTCACCACCGGCCTGGCTGCCGTGGCGACCATCCACGCAGCCCACAGTGTCTATTCGAGCATGGAGAAGCGAAATCTACGACACAAGGCGGTCAAAGACGGAAGATTGAGTGAAGAGCAAGCCAAGAAGATGAAGAAGAAGGCCCTGCTGCAAGATGCGGCGGCGGTGGGCATTGCTGCTCTCGGTGTCAAGGGTGCCCTTCACGAGATCAAGGAAGCCCGCGAGCTGAAGCACGAGCTGCACGAGTGGAAGGAGGAGAGGGCAGAGAGACGCAAACGGCGGCTTGAGAGGCAGCTGGAGATGGTTCACGGAGATGTCAACAGTGGTAGCGGTGGCAGCGATAGGGGTGGCGGTGACAGGCAGGTGGGAAGGCACAGGGCAGATAACTGGTCTTCCCCGAACCCTCCACGGACAGAGCGGTACTATGGCGAAGGACCTCGGTATTCTGATGGAAACCCATACGCCGCCCTGCCTCCACCTCCATACGACAGGAGGTGAGGGGTGGTGAAGACTTATCACCATTCTTTGGATGTCACTTGTCCTACGACTCTGGCAACTATCCGTCCTACCCGCCGTGCCTCACGGCCAGCCCATGGTTTTGGGAACACACACTACACACACTACACACACACACACACATACACACACACACGGACAGGACACTGTTTGCGCACCATAAAAACCCCAGCCTCATATTAAACAACGCTTCTTAATGTCTTATTTCCGTCAACGAATCCGTGCCGCACAATTACACGCACACAAAACCTGCCACCCAACACCAGCCCCGAGCCGCCACCGCTATTCACCCACAACGCCGCCACCGCCGCACAAGCTTACGGGGTCGTCATCTCAACCACCTCTCACATTCTCTCACCTCCTTCTGTCACACCTCATCAGCAGCAGGGTCAGTGCTCTCGGATACTAGATCTCGAGGAGCTCTGCGGTTGCAAATGGTTAATGGCGGGCTGCTCTTTACGACATGATGACTTTTGTTTTACTTTTCTATTTCCTTTCTGTTCAAACACACAAATCCAAAAACTTACTTAAAGAGCATGTTCTAATTAATCTTTTTCTTCTGTGACAGATCACCGCCGTTAAACGGCATATTACAGCCAACCTCGATCCAGCCCAGCCCAGACCAACCAACATCAAACCCACCTTCCAGCTTTTTTTCTTTGTTGACCCGCTCACATCATCCTGGTCGAACAGCAGGGTGGCAGAGTGGGGGGATTACCAAAAACCGGGGGAGTATCGTTTGTGCTTCGCTGCTGTGCGTGTTGCTGTTGTGCAACATGGCACTTGAGCATATGCGGTATTTGATGATCTACAGTTCGAGTTTACTCGGGTGTTAGGATAGGGTAACGAAATGATATCACGACCAAGTTTTCTTATCTCTCTCTTCTGTTTATGCCTTATGATCTAGACGGATTTGTTTTTTGGATGGGGGGAAGATAGGGAGGATACTTTTTGGAACAAACTGGGTTGATGATACCTTGGTATGTTTGTTTGGTTTTTGGCTGGTCTTGAGATGATGAAATGAGAATGAGGTGATGAGGAATGAATGGTATTTAGGAGGTGGAGGTGGAGGGGGATATATACGTACGGGCGGGTTTGTTGCCTTGGCTTTTTCCATGTCTTTTTTTTTGTCCATTTTTTGGATTTTATGATGTTATCTTTTTTGGTAGTTTGAGCTTTTGTTCTTGATGCTTATGATGATTATGAAATGTCAAAAAATGGATGGATTAAAAGTGCTTTTTGGTATTTTCCACGCTTGTGATGATGGTGATTTTCATGCTATGTAAATGCGCCTGTATACCTTCCCTCCTTTATGCCAACCACCTTTCCACTTCTCACAAATCATTTCCGGGTATCGTTGCTCTCAAAACCCCCTCCCAGCCCTCTTCCTCACGGGCTTCACCACCGCCCCCGACGTGACCGTCTTTTTATCTTTACTCTTCCCCGCCGGACCAGCCTTCTTCACCAGCTTCAGCTCCTCCTCGGCCTGCACCTCCTCCTCATGCCTCTTCTTATCCGCCGCCATCTGCGCCTCAATCTCCATCTTCTTGTTAAACTCGGTCTCCGTGATCCTCTTCTCCCTAGCCGAATACCCCTTCTCCTTGACCGAATAAAACACCCCGCCCAGCTCGGCCAGCCAGTGAGGGTCCACCGACGTGACCGTAGACATGTACTCCTTCGACGTCAGGATCAGCTCATGATAAATGACATAATCCGGCAAGAAACCCAGCCCATAAAGCGCGCTCGTCGGGTGGAGCTGAACCGTCACCGACGTTCGCAAATTAATGTACTCGCCTATGCCCTTGACTTTGGCCGCCTGATGGTAATACCCCGAGCAGATGCACTTTCGGATCACGTCCCAGTCCGTCCCGCAGCTCACCATTTCCATCTGCTGCATCTTCATGATATCCAGCAGCTGGTCCCGGACCTCTTTCGCGCGGCGGAGGGACTTGGAGTGCAAAAAGTGCTGGACGCACCACCGGTCGCTGTACCCGTTTGCTTTCCACTGCGTGTAGACGTGGAGATAGGTCAGGTGGTCTGACTCTGGCACGAAGAACTTCTCCCGTGCGGCGTCGGATTCCTCCTGGCGTTCTTTAGGTCGGAAGAAGACGTTGGGGACGGAGAGCATCGAGACGATGGTGACCATCTCTTCGCTGCAGCCATATTGCTCCGACATGATCAGAAGTTTGGCGAGGGAGGGGTCCATGGGGAAGGCGTTCATCTTCCGTCCCAGGTCGGTCAGCTCGCCGAGGTTGTCCAGGGCTCCCAGCGCCCACAGGTCGAACAAGGAGGTCGTGATGGTGTCTTGGGGTGGGGGGTCCATAAAGTCAAAGTCGAGCAGGTCTTTGACGCCGAGGGACTTGAGGAGCAAGACTGTGTTGCTCAGGTTGGTTCTTTGAATCTCGGGGATTGTGGAGATGTACATCTCGTCTTTGAAGGCCTTTTCGGTGAAAAGACGGTAGGCCTGTCCGGGGCCGGTTCGCCCGGCACGACCGGAACGCTGCGATGCGTTTGCTTGCGAGATGGGGGTGATTTGTAGCGTGTCCATACCCATTCGTGGGTTGTACACTTTGAGCTTCGAGTACCCTGCGTCAACCACATACATGATACCATCGACCGTCAAACTGGTCTCGGCAATGTTGGTGGCCACGATACATTTCCGAACACCCGGGGCAGCTCGGTCGAAAATTTTGGCCTGCAAATCTGCCGGCATTTGACTGTAAATAGGGAGGATGCTGAGCTTTGGAGGATCGTTGAGCGCATCCAGGCGTTCACGGACAAGCTCACACGTTACCTCGATATCTTCCTGGCCCGTCATGAATACCAGAATATCGCCTGCTGGTTTGCCCACATGAATCGCCAGGACCTGCTGCACGGCCGCATCCACGTAGTCCTCAACAGGTGACCGGTGAAACATGACATCAACGGGGAATGTTCGACCCGGGATCGTGAACTCGGGAGCTCCGCCGTAAAAGTCGGAGAAGCGTTTGGAGTTCATCGTGGCCGAAGTCACGATCAGTTTCAGATCGCGGCGTCTCTGAAGAATCTTTTTGAACAAGCCCATGAGAACGTCGGTATTGAGCGCTCTTTCGTGGGCTTCATCCATGATGACGCACGAGTATCGATCAAGGTCCGGCTCATTCAGAGATTCTCGAAGCAACACACCATCTGTCATGTACTTGATAACCGTCTCTTTGCTGGTGCAGTCCTCGAAACGAATCGCATAGCCCACTGTACTCCCGAGTTTTACTTCCATTTCCTCAGCCACACGTTTGGCAACACTCATTGCTGCTACTCTTCGGGGCTGTGTGCACCCAATCATACCAACCTTGCCGTAGCCATCTTCATACAGAAACTGGGCCAGCTGTGTCGTTTTGCCAGAGCCTGTTTCTCCGACCACAATGACCACTTGGTTGTCTCGAATTACCCGCAGCAAATCTTCGCGAACAGCAAACGCTGGAAGATACTCCCGCTGTTCTTTCAGGGATTTGCTTTGACTGAAGTTGCTTGCGCCCTCCGACTTCTTCATATGTTCGCTGAATTTGTTTGAGTTTTGCGCCTTTCCAGATTCCTCACTCGCGATGGGAAGGGCGCTGTCGGTGTCCTCTTCTTTCACCCCCATCAAGTTACCCAGCGCAGTTCCTGCCACGTTTGTTGCCTCCTGAGCCTGTTTTGCGCGTTCTCTCTGCGTGCGCCTTTCCTTCACAACGCGACTCCCTTTCCTGCTGAAGACAGCCATATCACTTTGGGCATCTCGAACGGCAGGAATGGGCTCCAATTGCTTCGTAAAGACAGTTCGTCCGTCCAAGAACGGCGGTCGTAGGTCATGCACGAGAAGATGAACGCGGGTCCCTTCTTGGTCGTCCTCAAAATCGCGTCCCATATTTCTTCGTTGCGCCACACCGGATGTGAGCATTCTGTTGGTCTCCCACGCATCAACATCCTTTTGTTTCTGCAACTGTCGCGCGTTCATGCCGCCGCGCGAAAAGTTGGCGACCTTTTTCTCTATCAAGGCGGCCTCCCTTTCCTGCGCTGCCCAGCCTGCCTCATCGCCGAATGGATTATGGGTGTCGTCGCCAAACGTGTGTCCACCCAAGTCATCGTCACCACCATACCAGTCGCGGTCGAGAGCGTTGATGGCATCTTGGTCGTCGACGCCCTCTTCTGGGCCGTCAAACTCTCGTTGCTTTGGTGTGGATGCGCCAGCCAATTTTGAGCCGGCGCGCGGTGTAGAGCTTCTCGAGTTGAAGCGGTTTTGGGGGCGGGATGGGATGTCGCTGAATCGATCGTCGTTGCGCAGTGGGTTGAAGTCCAGCTTCCTCCGCTTGTTCGAGCGGTCATCTTCGTAGTCGCGGCCCATATTTACTGTTATTAACAAAAATGTATGCTGGATGGAAGTTGTTTTGTTGACTTTAGAGTTCAAGCTTTCCACAGGTTGAGTTGACGTGCAACGAATTGCGGAGCTCTCCAAGAACCCCTGTCCCACCACCACAGCGCAAGTTCCCGATAAGATAAGCCCCGCTGTCGGTCCCACTAAAAAGTTGAACTGAGGAAATCCAACTTGTGAAATTTTGCGCCAGCAACATTTGTGACCACTCCAGCATCATCTTCCCAGGTCGTCGACTGCAGCTTTCACCATGGCGTCTATGATTACTACTACTGCCTGGGTGCCCCGGGGCTTTGCGGCACCGTTCCCCAACAAGTACAAGTTTGACGAGGAAGAATATGAGCGCATCGCTGCTCTCGCCAAGCTGCAGCTTGGTGATGCTGAGGAGGATCTGGCCGAAGCACAAGAGGCCGAGAAGAAGGGGTCAGAAAAGTCCGACAAGAAGAAGGCTGAAAGGGAAACCAAGGATGATGACGCTTCAGAGTATGTGTCCCTGGGATTTCATGGGTGTGCGCTTTCTAATAGTTTGAATTTAGCATCGAGATCGACGATGATCTGAAAGAATACGACCTCGAGCACTACGACGACACAGATGAGGAGGCCGGCGAGGGGCAGTCCATGGGCATGTTCGGCAATGTCAAGTCGCTCGCTTACTACGAATCGAACAAGGAGGACCCGTACATCACACTTGACCCTGGCGCTGACGAGGACGACGAAGAGCGTGAGGATCTGCAAATTCTGGCTACCGATAACCTTCTGCTCGCCGCCAAGATCGAGGACGAACTTGCCCACCTTGAGGTCTATGTCTACGAAGATGCTGCCGATAATCTCTACGTACATCACGATATCATGCTTCCTGCGATTCCACTGTGCGTCGAGTGGCTGGACTGCCCAGTAAACAAAGCCGGTGTCGATAAGGACTCGGCCGCCAACTTTGTCGCTATTGGGACATTCGACCCCGATATCGAGATTTGGGACTTGGATACCATCGACTGCATGTACCCAAACGCTATTCTGGGACAGGGCGCCAATCCCGAGGAGGAAACAAAAAAAAAGAAGAAAAAGAAGTCGAAGAAGGCCAACGATGAATACCACGTTGATGCTGTGCTGGCGCTTGCTGCAAACAGGAAACATCGCAACCTCCTTGCTTCAGGTTCAGCAGACAAGACCATCAAGCTCTGGGATCTTCACACAGCCAAGTGCGCCCAGTCGTACAGCTATCATACCGACAAGGTCTGCTCGCTCGCCTGGCACGGCGTTGAGTCCACGGTGCTGTTGAGTGGCAGTTATGATCGCACAGCTGCCATTGCCGACATGCGCGCGCCTGGGGAGCAGCCAATGAGAGTCGGTGTAGAAAGCGACATCGAGACTGTCAGGTGGGATCCTCATGACCCCAACTTCTTCTATGTGTCGACTGAGAACGGTATTGTCCATTACTTCGACGCCCGCAAGGCCACCAAGGATCCTTCCGCCAGCAGCTCCGTCTGGAAGCTCCAGGCCCACGACGAGTCTGTTTCATCCTTTGACCTGAACCCGGTCATTCCAGGGTTCATGGTGACTGGTTCGACCGACAAGACCGTCAAGATTTGGGACATCACCGCCGCAGGTCCATCGCTTGTTGTCTCTCGCGATTTTGACGTTGGCAAGGTCTTCTCGACGGCTTTCGCTCCTGACCGTGAGGTCGCCTTCAGAGTTTCCATTGCCGGCAGCAATGGCAACGTCTCTGTGTGGGACACCAGCACCAACGCCGGCGTCCGCAAGGCCTTTGCCCAAAAGGTGCCAAATCTTCCCACTCGGGAGGATGGTGCTGAGGACAGGCTGGTTGCGGTCAACAATGATGAGGAGGAGAGCAGCAGTGATGAGGGCGAGGAAGATGATGGGGATGATGATTCTGAGGAGGATTCGGATGAGGACGGAGACTCCATGGACGAGGATTAAGTTGGCCGGGAGTAGCTGAAGGATACCCATCTTGTCATACTATCGATAAAATTCCGAGCCAATTTATGACTGTGTTATGTGATCCGTGAGGTCGATAAGAACCCATAACCAGGAGTGTTGTCCCAGGCCTAAGAATTGCGGAGGAAAATGACGATACGCTGCATATGCCGACCTCAAGCTAACGGATGCAGACAGGTGCTAAAACCACTACCTCAGAAGTAAGAAAGTGTCTCTGGACACGAAGCTGACCGTCAGCCTTGCAGCATCATGTTTTGAAGATGCAAGCCGCATGTTTTTTTTCTCGACAACCCGGACACGGAGCGACACATGTTTCGTGAGCGGAGCATGTTTATGCTGATGGCTCGGCGATCAACGATCCTCCGGGACCGGCAAATCTTCCTAGCGATAGCATTGACAAGAGTGGGACTGGAGCTCTGATCAATCTTGACGGCGGCTTTCCTCAGTCCAAAATTAGTCCATGGACGTTTGAGGCTCAGAGCCCATGGGCGTTTTGGGCAGACAGTTTCATATCACGAGAAGCTATCCCAGGCTGGTGGTAAGATGTTTGCTCATGCTTCACGTAACTACCAACAGCCCAAACAAGTGTTGACAAACCTTGGCGATGGATTTGTACAAGCAGCAGGCATCTCGGGCGTTGTCTTACACCGCGGCATGAACACCCAAGTGGGATGCGCCGGCCCCTCCGTCAAGCACTAACGACTCCAGTTCTTGGAAGCGGCCGGTGAGCTCCGAGTCTTCCAGAACAGAACAAACTGTTGAGCTGGTGAAGCTCTGGGCACCGAGGCTGTTCGTCATCCAGGTCCACGCCAAGTACTGGATCAACCAATCAGGGCTCACCGTCATCTTAAACACACACGGGCCGTCTAAAATCTTCAAAATACCAAAGTCAACAGCCTTTTTTCGAGCAAATAAATCGATCTTTCTCAATCCGAATAGCGATTTTATACTATATGCGCTTCTCTCCCAGTTTAAACCGTCTTTTTACGTTTAAAACCGATAAAGTTACAACTCTTGGCCTTCGAAAGTGTGCAAGTGTTTGATGACTTGTTAGTGGGGACCGTCGACCTAGATAACGACCACCGGGCACCAAGTCCACAGCACATCGAGGAAACCCACACGCACGCGCTTCGAGCGGATCCCAAGGAAGCCCAGGCGCTTGGTTCGGCTTTTGGTTGTCAATCTGGAGCTGGCTGACGAACTGACAAGAGAACCTGACAGGCTGACTGCAACACTGTCACTGGTGATTGATCGAAGAGAACCGAACCATCAGCCGCGCGGTCGGGCGCGCATCTCACACAGCAGCAGCAGGTGCGGAGTGTTGAAGAAGTCCCCTGTGCTCAGGAAGTTTCATCGAGAATGGAAGGGGGAATAGAGAACATTGGGCCAATCAGATGGCATGAATCAACATCTTAGCTTCGTTTCAGATGCAGGAACGAGGTTGATCTTCATGGCTCGAGTGGAGGGACACCAGTGCCATGCCCTGGCGCAAAAGAAATGTTGGGGGGTGAGGTTCTTCACCCCTGACACAGAAGAACCCACGGACGGTGATGCGCCTTGGACCAATCAGCGCTTGAAGATGGACTGCGGGATGCCCAAAACCCCCCGAGCACATCACGCATCCCTCTGTTGCTTTTTGTTCCCTCAGAGTTGGCCTCGGAAACAAGAATCGACTGCTTTTTGCTACATTGCTGTAGAAGTAGCACCAGAGTGTGCTATTTTGGAACAGCATGGACGGGCGGCCTGCAAGGACAACTGTCAAACACGCATTTCTGAACTGTGGTTGATGGAGGGGGGAGAATCCAACATGCAGGAACAAGCGACCCCACGCAGGAGCAAACTGAGATGACCCTTGTCCCGGGCCCTTCATCGCCCAATCAAAGCGGGCCGCGATGCCAGCGTCAAGTGACTTGCAGCAGCGCCAACCAGAACTGGTAACTGGCATCTTGTCGCTTCGACTGGCCTCAACGGTCTTGATTATCCCTCGTTTTCTTTTGATCAGGGCTCAACATTCAAACATACGCATGAATTCTCGCTGGAAGTGTACACAACAGCGGGAAACCATTCATATATTGATTGGGGCATGTCGTCCTCCTTTGCCACGGTCCGGAGCATCGAGCTCAGAAAGGGGATGCACACTCCGGTCACCATGAGGTCAATCGAACCAATGGCATCCCAGGGCAGCCCTCCAAGCAGGGATCAGGTTTTAACCTTGGGCGGCGGGCTTGTGCGGTCTCCCCTTGCTGGGAAACGGCGCGCGACCAGCAGGCCAACCCAGCAAATCACCGGCCGTCCTAAATTCAGGATGTCACGGTCTCTTCTGCTCCGTACACTCTGCCGGCCCGGTCGAGAGGGCGAGAAGAGGCTTTTTCCACTGGGTGAAGAAGTGCCAACTGCCACTCTGAGTTGTCTGGCCGGGAGGGGGACCGGGAAAGAGCGCATTGGTATTGCTACGCAGAGGGTGACATAATCTCCTGCGTGATCCATCGTACCAGTACTTTGTGATCTGCAATGCGCAAGCAAAAAAAAAGCATTGCGCCACTCCCCGTGCCCGTTTCCCCATGGGTTTGCCCTCACCTTCGATGTGCGCTCGCGGCTCGTCCTTTATTGTTGTGCCTCCCCCCTCCAGGCTCACACCCTGCTTTTCTACTTTCAGTCATTCTGTAGACCCTTTGCGTCCCATCGCTCCTTGACGGACCAGAAAACTTTGACATCCTCAGAGATCCCCATCGCCGGCTCGCCTGGATACTCGAGGACACTTACACATTCCTTTTTTTACAAGACATTTCTTGCAGGACATTCATCCATCGCCCAACTTGCGCCGGTACACATCGCCCCCGAGATATTTCACTTCAGTTCTACACACACTCCCTCGACGACATCACACAAAGGGCCCAGGTCAGTCCGTCGTCACTTACCCAACATCACACGTGGACAACAAACACATTGCGTCGCCCTGTCTTTGTTGAAAACTTGAAGCCCCATCGAGGAGCCACGTTCCTTCTCGACTTGTTCTA